ATTCACCTCGAGGTTATACTCCGCAAAAAAGGAGAGTTAACGAGCCATTCTCAGCGAGAGATGAGGTGACTGTGTTGCTGTGCGTAACGACGCATGATCGGTATAGACCACAAATGGCTTTGATCCCAACAGGTGTGCCCTGAGCTTAACAAGGCATACTTCGTCGCAAGTAGCTCCTGGTCATGAACTGGATAGTTCTTCTCTGCAGCTTTCAGCTCAATGACGCGTTCTCGGCCTTCAGAGTTAACTTGAAAGAGTGCACTGCCAATAGGAATTTCCGAAGCGTCACATACGACGCTAAACGAGTGATCAGGATTAGGCCGAGCCAGAATTGGCCCCTGATGGAGACTCTCCTTAATGGCTTCAAAAGCCTCGTGGTGCTCGGTGTTCCAACACCATTCCACATCCTTTTGAAGGAATTTGGACAATGGCCAAGCAACTTCCGCATAGTTGTGGCTATACTTGTACAAGTAATTTGCCAAACTCAACCACTTGTGGAGGTCCTTCTGGTTCCTCGGAACCGGCCAATCCACTATGGCTTTGACCTTAACAGGTTCTGACCGGATTCCTCGCTTCCCAATGAAGCATCCCAAAAAGGGAATCTCTTCCGCACCGAATATGCCTTTGTCAATATTGGTATATAACTATGCATCCTCATGCAACAAAGCACAGCTCGCAGGTGCTCAATGTGATTCTCCACATCAGTATTGCCATTTACGGCTGGACAATGGACGAATATATCGTCAAAGTATGTCTGCCATAAGCCCTATGGGACCTAAAAAACTGTGTCACTAGACGATTGAACATTGCGAGTGCGTTAGACAGCCCTTGGGGCAACACCAACAACACACCCAAAGCATACCGCTCGGCGTGCTGACCACTGTCAGAGAGGTATCACTAGCTCGCATGAGCAGTTAGTAATATCCATCGACTAAGTCGAGGGCATTGTATATCGTACATCCCACCATATTGTTCTGAAGAACATTCTTGCGACATTTTAGTGTTTGAGCCGAGATAGTGGCTACATTCAGCTTATTGTAAGCATGCACTATTCGCCACTTCCCATTAGGCTTCTTCACACAGAACATGGGCGTACAGTGAGGAGAATTACTCTCACGCACCATGCCAGCCGCGTGCTTCGCACGAAAGAACTCGTCAATGACGTCACATTGTTTTCGTGGCAGCGGCCACTGTCGCGTCACACAGTATTTGGTTTTCATAACCAAGTCAACTTCATGACGTACACCTCTTTCCCGAGGTAACCTCGTCGGAGGTTCTCTGGAGACAACATCTCCATATTCCTTTAACAAATGAAAATAAGGATCCGAAGGGTCCTTCAGGATCTGTGATCCACTACACGCATTCAGCGCCTTCTTGGTATTTTCAAGAACTGCTTTATCCAAAAGCGATGAGGATTTCAACTCATTCTCAGGTCGTATAACGATCTCTTCGGCTATGTCGCCTGCCTGTAAGGCAATGCCAAACTCGGCAAAGGACAACTCGTGCAGATCTAACAAAACACCTACTGCGGGTATTGCTGAAAGAGCCACCGGCTCTTCAACATCTCCAGTCAAACCATTGAGGAGTGTATATGGCTGTTCGCTATCACCGTCACCCACGATATCATAATCGCCTCAGCATCCGACGCATCAGCGTCCACAGGTGTACACACCTCAAGGTCAAAGACCACTCCATTTACTGACTGCATTCCAACCTCTGAGGTCAATGCCTCGTCATGAGGTGTTCGCACCTCATTGTACTCAAAGACAACCGTCATTCTTTACTTCACCCGACCTTCTTGGGCCAGTACCTCGTCACTAGGTTCTCGCACCTTGTTGTCCTCAAATACAACATCCATTGATGACTTCACCCGACCCTCTGTGGTTAGTACCTCGTCGTTAGGTGCATGCAACTTGTTGCCCCAAGGAAAACATCCATTTGTGACTTCATCGACCCTACAGGGTCAGTTCCTCGTCACTCATGTCACTTGAACTCGTGTTCTGACATCTTGGGGTGTAGCCACCACACCACTCACGGTGTTTAGTGATGTAACATCATTCTCATGACACATGTCATATGTGCCATCTAGTGGGTTCTCAACCACACTATCGACAGTCATTGGGCCTCGCCCAGGACTATTGTTCTCGACACCTACAGTGTCTACAAATTCGGATATTCCGACATCCAACATATTGACCGACTCGGTCCAATATCCGCGCCAAAAGCGCTTTTTCTTCCTAGCAGAGGTGGGCTCATGACTCTCCAGAGCCCCACCAGGAGCATTGCGCGTTGCGTCTAAGGTCTTCGACTTCCAATCAATCCATGGCTCATGGCGTTCTAGCCATGCCATGCCTAAGACGAGGTCATACCTCGCGTCCAGGTCTAAGACGAAACAGCTTTTCCTACTGTTGAGTCCAAGAACTTTACATTTAAGTCCATCGGGACTTTAAGTACCGTAACACGCGTACCAGTTGCTAAGCGAACTGTGACCGTGTCACTATCACGAGCTACAAGCTCTTCAGCATACTGCTGACTACCTTCCACGGTGGCACGGCGCACATAGTTGCCCGATGCCCCCGAATCGATCAAAATGATCCATGGATTATCATAGTCCTTAAGCGTCCCTTCAACGACCAACAAGCCTGGCTTGCATTCTTGTTCCGTTTTTCAGAGTTTGGGTCCCTTTGGGGCTGGGCACTGCTTCCTTCTACCTCCTAGAGATTCAACAAAACTCAGTTCTTTTCCAGTAGGGTGCCCTGCGCCTACTGGGTTCCGCCGTTTCCGAGAGCTTACCCGTGGGGCGTCGGTCCTTCGAGACCAAATTTGCCTTTCTTGCAGGGCATTTTGCCATCAAATGGCCTGTGCTCTTGCTAATATAACATCTGCGCACAATTTGCTGCTCCACAGTATGAAGCTCAGCTACTTCATCCTTCACTTGACTGCGGTCCATGGGTACAGACCCATCAGACGAGAGGTTGTAAAGTGACAGACCTAGCGGCCTTAATTTGGTCTTGGCATTCCATGCCACTCCAACAGCTTCCTCGAATGAGGACGGGTTTACCCGGAAGACTTCCGTTCTGGCAACGCCTACTCGGAGCCATCCATGAAGACCGTGACGGTCACTGCCTCAGACATAGGGTCTATGACCATTGCAGCAATAAGAGCTCTCAACTCTTGCACATATGCCGCAATCTCACGCTTATCTTGGCGACACGCCAATAATCGCAACCGTATTCGGTGCGCTTGGTTTGGCGGTGCATACTGCCGTGTCATCTGAGCTTTTAGATCGGCTCTTGTTGTGAATGCATCTTACAGTGATGGCACCGCGTGTGAACGTCCATTGCGTGGCTAATCCACCCAGCTTGCCCATGGAATAGCCCACAAGGTATGGTTCATCAGTGATGTCAGCTATAAACATAGCCGACTCAACCTGTCGGAACCACAGCATAAGGTTTTTACCTTCTTTGCCGTCGAATTATTCGACTTCCATTTGTATGGGTTTTGGTCTGCGGACCACTTCTTGCGCCATAGTCGACATGATGCGACCCTTCGTACCTTCGGTACGGTCACATCACCTACCACTGTACCCAAGGTACAGCCACACCACATTGTGTGCCAGGTGTGTATGTACAATACACACCTCTGTGTAACCGTTACATAAGCCGCATTTTAAAACAGAATTTGGGCGTGTACACGCGCAGTTTCCGACCTGTACTGGTGCTGACTCGTTATATTCATTCCGCACTCGACACGAAAAAGAGTATCCATATATTAGCCGAATAGAGGCACCATCAAAAAACGTACCGAACGGGACAAGCATTCTGATTAGTCTGCTAGAACTCCACTAGCTCCTGCTTGGGTGATTGAGCATATTTTTGTTGCAACACCGTAATCTCAAGACGTTTATGTTTGCACATCATGCCACTTACAGCGCCATTTGGTCAAAAAGTGCGACTCTAGCTACTGCCAAAGCTATCTACAATACAATAGTAAATGTGGTAAGCTATTGCGGGCACCGGCAATGATTTGAGCAAAGTATTAAATAACTCATCGACTGCCGAACTATTTTGTATGTTCATGCCCAAGCAGACAAGATTAGAGTTGGTGGAAGGAAATAAAATCTCATGGACAACCCACTAGGTGTTTTTTGTCTAGGGCACCAAAAGCAAATCCATATTTCTTCAAGCAAACGATCATCGTGTAATCGAAAAATATTCAATGCTACTGGCTTTTCCTGTAAGCATACTGGTAACATTTGCTGCTGTCTGTGGTATCGATTGGGTAAAAAACACAGTCAAAAGAAGATAGTCGTGTGCTCAAGCTCTGCAAAGAAATATGGAAGCCTTTTAACATGTTCTACCACGAGCGCTGCAAAGGATGTAGCAACTTTCATTTCCGACTACACAAATGATGCGAATACTATCGTGCTCGGTATGAGCTATGGTACTATACTTGCGGAACGCTTGATGCATCTTAATTGTCCTGCAGTGACGGGGTATATTCTGGATGGTATTGCCACGAATTCAGGAGCATCTCGAGACAAAGCTTATTACATTTCAATGGTTAATATTAATATCGGAGACACAGGTGATGATGCATTTATGGCACTGAGCGCAAAGACACGCGAGTGCAGCAAGCACTTTGTGTCGAAAAGCTTGCGCGACACGCTTCAAGATCTTAATACACTTTAATGATGATCCAACGTCGACGTGCGCTGCTCTTGTCACTAAAATATATGGAGACAAGAATCGCGATCCGGTGTCGCATATTTTACGGGCAATTCTAGGAATGATGCTCATGACCAATGTACGAGTAAACTAATTCCTCCTGTTATCTACCGACTTTACTCGTGTCGGTCTAAGGATATCAAGGTTTTGACACATTTTTTCACGAATCTCAATCTGAACCCTTGGTGAACAAGTGATGACAGTGTATTTGAATCGGGAATACTTTATGGCCTTATTCAGTTTTCTGAGAATTGGGAAACACCAACACCATCAATGTCAGAGATGGCCTCGCGAGATACAGACGTGCTATTTACATGTGGCGATTTGCAGCCTGTTATTCAGCTTTTCTGTGCTTTCTCGAAAGAAAAGTCAGCCGCGTGCAACCCACTTGGTGTCGGAAGCTACCGTGCCAACGGCATTGTTTACGAGGTGGATGAGTATTGAAACAAGAGTGCAAAGATTCCTACACATGCAAGTGTGCTATTAATGAGCGGTAAGATGGCCGCACAGTCACATTACAAACATGCCGAATCTTTGCTGGAAGCACTGGATGGTGACAAAAAAGAGCTGATCACGTTCGAGTATGCGCTTCATGGAGTAATCGATAGTACCCCACTAAGTCAAGGCAACGAAACGTGCGGCATGAAGTTGCTGTTGTCATACGTGACCAATAACGGCAACTTGGAGCTTCTTGACAAGTCTTGCGTCGATGAAATGCCCCCGTTCAATATGACGCTGTCGCTTGAAGATCAGTACTACATGATGAGCACGGACGATGTCTACAACGTTTTTTACGGTATGAGTTTATATGGAAGTCTTCCCGCATAAAGCTCAAGTCTTGCCGAAACGAATAAGAATCTTACTACTTCGCTCGTGACATTCACACGTAGTCAGTTGAGAACCCGACAACAATACAAAAAGCAACAGATAAAGTTGAAGTTTTGCTCCACATCGATGCTTTTTCCTAATACAACGAATGACACTGCCGTTTCGCCCGCAACACAATTCCCAGCAAAAGATGATCTACGAAATAGCCAACAGCTGGATCTGTTATTTGAGTACAGCGGCGTCGTTGCGATCGAAATGGAGCGGATCATGCAGAAAATCCGCCAGAGCTTTCCTTAAGAGCTTCTGGTCATTTTATGAAGCAATGACGTAAGGCAAATATATCTTCTCTGTTTTGGCGTAATCCTACTTCTCCTGTTTTGTCAGTTTGACTGCTCCATCTTCCTCGAAGTGAGCACACGCCTTCGCTTTGTCAAGCGCTGTGTAAGACGCGGCATCCATTCTTTGCGGGCGAAGGTTATTGATATACGACTGATTTGCCTCATTTCCCTCGCACAAATTACGCAAAGCTACCAAAGACCATTCACGGATGAATGGGTTTGTTTCATCAATGTTGCAGTGACTGAGAAGTAAAGGCAAATAACCGTTATCGCGCATAAGATCTTGGTGGCCCGTATGCCGAAAACAGAGATTGCCAATGACGCGAATCAACCGAGACCTGTACCCTACCGGCTCTCCGCTTGTTTGCAGCTGAAGCGTAGATCCAGGTGCTCGGTGGGATGCTGGGTTCCGACGCCCAAGCTCCCAAGCACGGTGTAGCTCTTGAGCAAGAGAAAGTAGCAGTTCTCGAGTCCTCTCTGCATTCAGCCGAGTGTGACCGACAGTCAATTCTCCAAGCACATCAAGCAACATCAACTTTGCTTCGTTCTCAAGCTCAATCCACATTCTCTTTCTAACTCCGTCTGCTTCATCTGGCCTGTCGTCGTCGCTGGTAGTGACGATGGAGATCCATGTACTTTTGACAAACTCAAAGGCACCTTCAGAAAGCAGTTGTACGTATTTGCCATGTACTTCCTGCGTTGCGGCAGTAGATGTCGGCTCGGCCACGGAAATAGCTAACATCGTAAACATCCGTAGCAAAATTAGTTGCTCGGGAGTCACACAAGACCAGAGTTTACTTAGCATGTGAGCTCCAATGGCGTTGTAAAGATCCCCAGTATGACCGGCGCGGAAGAGAACGCCAAACAAAACACAGATCCACTCAAAAGCTGGGTCCTGGCCATCGATTTGTAAGCCATTTGGCAGTAATGCATCCAGCTTTTGCGGCCTCACAATGCAGCGGTGAAGAATTGTAATCACCAACGTGCGTGCGCACACCTGTATTTATGTCAAGAAGGAGTCAACAAGGTCAAAAAGGAGTCAACAAAGTTGGTAAAATGCAATGTTACCGCTCTTGCTTACCAGTTCAGCACGGCGAGTGGCAACTTCCTCGACTTCAAACGTAACGGTACTGTTGGAGTTGACACAGTTCAGAATCAATGCTACTGTAAACGCAACGACGTTGCGGTGCTGATGACACTCAACCAACACTTTCTGCCGGAACAGATGAAATGTCAGCGAATACAAAGCAAAGCCACATGCTTTCACTACGTCATCACCTGAAAAACATCAGGAAAAAATAATTTCCATACTGTTGCTTGATTCTCGTTGTTACCAGTGACACTGTTTACGAAGAACTGGAGCGTAACATGGGCTAGTAACACAACGCGGCTGCATTTAAAATCCATCGATGTCAGTCCCAATATATTAACAAAACATCGTTCTATAACATCAATCCCACTCTTTAACTGCCTCGTCCTCGACATCCATCCAGAAACAGCACGAAAGCACTATATCATATGCCTGCATCATACAGATAATTAGCGTCCGACCCAAAATTCAATCATAACTAACCTTGTCATTGCACAAAAACAAGTCGTACAATTTTAATCAGACCGGCGTCCAGACATGCGTCTTGGTTGTCACAACTTGCCACACATGCATTGCGCAGGAAGCGGCAAACTGCCGTCAGCGCATCAACTTGACTTGACACTTGCTCAGCATCAATTACTTTTGCCTTAATAGGCGAGACATTGTCACATACTGACTTCACTGTCGTTTTCTCACGATCTACTCGAAACGTGTAGCCCAGGCCATGGTCGTCCTCGGACATATCTGTATCTTGCATGTCATTCTCGACATTTTGATCAAATCCTACTAATTTTATGCTGTCCTGGATCTGTCTCATGTAAGTATTAATTGTCTCGGCAGCTTCCATCCACAAAATTGATTTACTGAGCGTTTTTCTGATCGAAAAAAATGCAGCAATTTAAGGCGACAATGAAGTTCAGTAGATTTATATGATATACAATATTACATGAAGATTTTTCATTGTTCTAAAGTACAATTATAATGCATAATGATACATTCTGGACGCGTACCGGAAGGCAACGTCGCGGCATTCTGCTGCCAATGCTGCAAAGTCCATTTGCAAGAATGTTGTACACAAAGTGTACACAATGTAAATTGTTCATTGTGTGAGGTACATCATATGGTGTGAAAAGCTCAAAACGGCAAATGAACCTTCGCGTAATCAAGCAAATAATGTTCTTGCACAAGATGATAGATAGTCAGTAGTTCTCATGTGCTTCTTTGGCTAGGATAGAAGAGAGAAGCAGACGGTTGTTTGGACTCAATATCTTTAACCATAATACCTGATCACTTATGTTCAAATCAAAACGTTTTCTATCGTGCAGTATATCAAAACGTCGAACTGGATCATTTCTATCGTTAGTCCAAGCACTGACGGAAACAGACAACTTTTTTACTTGTAGGTAGTAAACAGTACATGCAGATGGTATGTTATAGAATAGCAGTACACTTCTTTTGTTCTCACATTAGCGACTCACAACAAAAAAATTTCACACACGGATGCTGTATTGCTAACTTGTCTGCAGACACTTTGACACAAAATTGCTTCAAGCCTTGTCTTTCCCATGTAGCCAATAAGGGTAGGGCTATGTTTTGATTGGTACATATACTGACGACGAGCTCGTAACGACGCCGTGGACGAATGCATAATTTAACTAAGATAAACACGAAGCCTCTAGCTACGACTATCAGTCGACCCTTAAATGCCCATTGGCTACAGCCAATAGGCTTTTCAAACCCTATATATTTTCCACGCAGATATTCTTAACAGGGTGGGAGCCAGCGCAGCCAGCGAGTGGTCCAGAGACACGGAAAAGCGCGACAGGGGCAAGAAAAAGCTTGATTTGGTTATGGTCAGCAGAGACGTCGCCTCGCCCTTCTTAGCCTCTCCCCGATACTGCATCATACAACATTCAAGTAAATTGGCAGAGCTGTAGTTACGCAAGGGAAAACGTCCCCTCTCCTGCTTGCATACAGGTTATCTTTTTCACTTGAAGTTCGTATAGTTCACGCCCGAGCCGGCGGGGCGAGCATTCGCTTTTTCTATTCTTTCACCTCGTTCTTCATTTTCGCTTTTCCAAGCTTCCGAACAAGAAGAACCAGCAACTCGAAAGCCTTTTCAGACAGACTCAGTTTTTTCAAAACCAAGATGGCTCGTACAAAGCAAACAGCCCGTAAGTCAACTGGAGGCAAGGCCCCACGCAAACAGCTTGCCACTAAGGCCGCTCGTAAGTCCGCCCCTACCGCAGGTGGTGTCAAGAAACCGCACCGTTATCGTCCTGGTACAGTCGCTTTACGTGAGATCCGCAAGTATCAAAAATCGACCGACTTGTTGATCCGCAAGTTGCCATTTCAGCGCCTTGTGCGTGAGATTGCTCAGGACTACAAGACGGATCTACGCTTCCAGAGCACAGCTATTCTAGCTTTACAGGAGGCATCGGAAGCCTATCTTGTGGGTCTATTTGAAGACACGAACCTGTGTGCGATTCACGCGAAACGTGTTACGATTATGCCAAAGGACATTCAGCTTGCGCGACGCATTCGTGGCGAGCGCACGTAAGCGTCTTGATGAATGCAATGATGCTTCTTTCTGCGCCTGCCTCTCCCGTATGCGGCAGCATAACTTTCTTTTTATCCTTTTCTTACATCTTATTACCAGTTAGCTCGCTGTATATGATGATGATGGGGCGTAGTACTTATACGTAATCGTATTTTAGCCTTTTATTATAGCAGTGAACAAATCTTTACGACATACAAAAATCAAATTGTTTTGATATTTTTTTTCAAAAATAATAAAACCTTTGCAAGATAAATAGACTTTCGAATTCTGACTTGGTGATGACGGCCTGAATGCACAATTATTACATTAAGGGGGCTACCCTATCGTCGTGTCGCGTTTTGTCCGGATATACACAAACAACAACACAAAGTATACTAGGTGCAGTTTTTGCTGCTACTTTACTATCTTTATGGATCGACTCTGAACTGGAAGTTATCGATTGAGTCCACGAACGGTTCTACAATAGTTAACAGTAAGAACAGACAAGTCTCTATTCTATTCTAGTCAGTCTATTTCTTTGATCAGCAATCCATCATATGCTCCTCAAAACTCATCAATCATCGACTGGACGCCTGCAATTTACTATCAACATTAGCTATACCGACATGAGAAATATCGTCTGAAGTATTCATAATTTCTTGACTTCTAAGATTTTCATCTGCTCTACCACATTATTTTAAAAGTCATCATTAACCTTATCAAATTTCGCAAAAAACACACACAAATCACGATTTAGCATCAATGTTTTTTGCTCGTAGAACAAGAGCTAACCACTAATACCATGACTTCTTCCTTAAGTGGTACCTGCAGTTGAATGAATTCATGTCGGCTCCTGTTTTAACACATCCAGACGTACTTGCCAACATTGTTATAACGCAGTAAATTCTTTTTGACTACCAGGACGTAAACGTCAGTAGCAAATTCTGGATATGATAAACAAGTAACAAAAAGTTATGAATACGAACGTAAAGCGCCTTCGAAAGGAGTTTCAAGAGCTGAAGAAGAACCCAGAGGAAGATATGGTGTTATATCCAGAGGAAGATACAATTATGCGATGGAAAGCTTATATTCGTGGTCCAGCTGATACCCCTTTTGAGGATCGCTGCTTTGAATTAGCTATCCAAACGACTCCACTTTATCCCATGGAACCACCAAAGATGAAATTTATTACTAGGATTTTTCACCCCAATGTGCATTTTAAAGTAAGTTTATGGCATGAATAAGGATTGATTATATATATATATGTAATTGTATGGATCATACTGATGGGGGTTTGTGTCATTCCTTCTTGATTTGTTCTTGTATGTATTTGTGCAACTTTATCATTTTGTTGTTCCAGGACGGTAGCATTTGTCTCGATATCCTTAAGCGCGAGTGGTCACCGGCGTGGACATTAAGGGTTTGACATTTATTTTGACAATAGTGTGGTGTCGCATTGTAGAGGTCTGACTGCTGCAAGGTTATACATTCGTGTAGGCTGCGTGCTTAGCTGTGATATCGCTATTGTCGGACCCTGCGGCTGACTCGCCTCTTAACTGCGACGCCGGTAAGTGCGTTGAGTGTGTGAAAAAGGATGGTCAATAAGTCATGCTGTTACAATTGATGGTGTTGCTCGTCATACAGGAAACATGATTCGTGCTGGTGATATGTTGGCGTACAACACGATGGCGGAGATGTACAAGAAAGAATTTGGACTGCTGGAGCTCCCGAAGGACCCGTTTTAAAGGGTGTCAAGTTTGCTTGAATTATTAAGTACCGGTTGGCGACAATAATTCAATTGCTTGGATATGTTATTGTTGGCATTATATGCTCTTTTCAGGTGTAATTGGATCCTCAATTGATACCAAGTTCTTTTCCACTTGTGATTTCGGTGCTGCCAAGTCGCCGTAGTAAGCTGTCAATACTTTTAGCTGCTTGTTCAAGAAAATTCTCTCGCACTCAACGGGCTCGCGAGGTGTTAGCGCCTCGAGGTCACTGGTACATGTACTTCTCGGAAGATAGTACGCGATGTTCTTCGATACTTTACGCGCCCTGGCAAACAGATCCAACCCAGACACACCTTTCACAAGCATGTCTTTTAGTTGAAATTGCTTACGGTTGTACATTACTCCACCCCACGGAGGGGACAAAAACACGGCATCAGCCTTGAGCCTTTGCAAAATGTCAATCGAATTCCCCACCACCCACTCAATCTTATCTGCCACGCCATAGATAGCAGCATTGTGCTTTGCCATGCGAATCTTGACTGGGTCAATATCAATTGCAATCACATGCTTGCAAGTCATCGCTAGCTGAATCACGTTTCCACCGCAGCCAGCAAATGGGTCAACAACTACATCACAGCAAAGACGCATTGCAATATGCTCAGCGACCGCTTGAGGAGTGACCTGCATTTTATAGGTCAGCAACATTACGGTTCGGTATTGGCAGCGACGATGAAGATACGCACCGAATACCAACTTTCGTGATCAAGCTGAATACCGTCCTCGAACTTGTCAAAAAGGATATGCCTCTGCAAGTAAAACTTGACAACATCTTGTGGAACTGAGAGAACATCAACACAAACAGACCACTATGTCAGTCATTAAATACAATACAACTTCGTACATATCCGCTGTATTCGTACCAGGATATCGTTTTTTTTTCTTGCGAGTCCTTGATTTCTTGCATGTGGTTTCAGCGTTTTGCTCCTCCAACTTCACCGCTGGTCTCATCTCAATTTGTTCAATAACTTGCGCTGCTACTTCACCATCTGAATCATAAACCACGCGTACCTTGTTGACAGTTGTCGTCTCCAGCATCAAGCTCTCTTCACTGTGAATTTGCTCACACTCATCAGTAGCAATAGCTTCCAATCCGTCTCCATTTTTCACTTCTTTTTTGCTATCTCCAACATCATTCTCTTGCTGTTTACTTTCAGTTGTATCAGCCTTCTTCTCATCAATGACAATATCTTGTGTAGCTTCCTCTTGTGACCTTTTATACTTTGTCCTCGACGTTGGAATCATCGATCTAGCACCAAAACCCATTGGCAAACTCCCTTCCAATCCAGCTGCAATCATTTCCTGCTTCATCTGATCTTGTGCAGCTGCATACATAGCAGCACATGAATCGTCGTCCTCTTCATCTCGTTCATTGTCTAGTATTGCACAGCCGCCCTTTGCCACCCGTCGACGTTTGTTTTTTTTCGTAGATTTCTTGCCTATCACAGACTTCAAACGTAGCAGAACAAATCAGTACGAAAGTAGTCATATCTTTGCTGTAGTAAGAGCTTCTTCTTCTTCCTCTTACCTTGTAATTCTCTTGTGTCTTACGGCTTTGTAATCGCACCTCTGTCACTCGCGCCATGTCAACGAACGTAATTGTGATGGGATCGTAGACGTCACATTTTCATCCAATCCAAAAGCTGCATGAGCTCTTATTTGTAACACAAAGTAAACTTCAAGCCCTAATTAAGCGTCGTACTGAGCTTTACAATGATCTTATATAGGGGCTGAAATAATCTTATATAGGGGTTATCATAATCTTATATAGGTGACAGACTATTGTTTAATTGGCTTAACAACGACAGTCATCTTCACCATCAACATTATTGTATGGTATGATTAATATCAACTATCCTCATCTTTCCTCCGCGTACACGAGATTTAATGAGCAGCAATGGGAACAACCAGTTGGGCACACGGTCTCAAGAACAAACCATTCAGTCAGATGGTCCAAGTGACCACCATGTGCACATACTGGACACCATACGTAAAGACCTCGAACTGGTAATTGACTAGGAAGAAACGAAACGAAAACAACGTGAGGACGGAGATGACAAACATGCTTTTACTGGACCATATTATAGTTCTATACAGGAGACGTACCATATTGAACAAAGTGTTGCAGCATTACTGCAGCTTGCACATATTAACACTGGCATACCGAGTTCACTAGGACCAGCTGACTCAAGAGGTTTCGAGCATCGGGCACAATTAAAGTAGATACTTGTGGATTTCTATCGACATCGACATCATTGGCAAACGGTTGTTAGTAACACGAGAGATGGAGAGATTTGCAGAAGAGCAGAACAGACTCTACGTACCATATTCATTTGCCGAATCGATTGGTCGGAACAATTTGCAACCAACTCGTTTGCAGTTGTGTAGATCTGCAATTGGTGAAGAAGATCGATGTAGTGCATGTAAATATGCTGCAACCATGTCTTCCCCATCACCTTTTCAACATTTGTCACTTTACTAGCAACAACAGCTATCGTAACGCATGTCTGTAGGTCACCAATCTCTGTGTAATATTCCAGTAGTTCCTTCAACACATCATCACGTAGATGACCGAGATCGCCCATGACAGCACTTCCATTCATAATTATTGATGAATTACCACGCACGTTTGCAATCCCAGATGGATCATTACGATCGTCTCCATCACGTACGCTCTCGTTTGCAAGCCTTCCCATAGGGTCATATGGATATGGATCAAACCCTTCCATAGCTTGTGGGTTTACGTGGTCGAGTTGTTCGAGTAGCATCGCTGTCTCGCTCGCGTTATTGAGATTCGTGTGACCGTAATCCTCATTTCCAAACTCATTTGCATGTCGTCGACCTTCTCCCCCCATGAACTTATTATTCCGTGGGTCGTCATGATTGGAATCACCTGGCAACATTGCGTCGTTGTCTTCATTAAGCTCGCCATCCATTGACATACCCACTTGATCTCGTGGGCTGAAGTCGCCAGGATAATGTTTGCTGGTGTCCATTCTTCCACTAGACTTAGCCTTATCCCCAGCTTTCTCGGTCGTGTAAAGGACCTCAAGAATACGCCACATCTGACACAAATGTGCATTGCCCGTGACAAATGCAGCCAAAGCATTATGCGCGCACATTTCCGAAAAGTTTATACCAGATCTTGTCAACATTTGGTCGCCACTACCTCCAGCACTACCTGAATTGTCAGTACAGTCCATGCCAACGCTAGCTCCCTCTGGAAAGAGTAAGTAATGTCTGGCAAGAAAGCGAAATGTGTGTTCGTCAAAGCCAAACGACTCTTTCAAGTACTGGCCTTGTTCGAACTGCGCGCGCATTATTTCCACTTGCTTTCCAGCTTCAATATACTCGCTTTCGTAGCCAAGGAAAATTTTCTCGAGCTGGCTGGCCTTGTTTATATTTTGCATCGTCACAAGAGCGACTAAAGCTCGAGGCACATTTGACCCAGACATCATTGCGCTAACGGGTGATGGGGACATCAGCGTAGCTGATATGCCGTCTAAAAGTGCGGCAGCATTTCCACTAGCGTTACTGCTCTGTAGATTGAGCAGCGTTGGCTGGGAAAAAGTCGTGGAGCCTGTGCATCTAGCAATTCCTGCAAGACTTGCTCCAGCTGCCGCATTTAGGCTGCCATTTCCCCCAACAAATCTGAGATCGGCACTTGCAGTTGCAGATCCATTGGACAAAGTCCCCAGGTTTGCACTGCTCCCACTAGATCTATGTAAGCCTTTAGGTGGTAAAGGTGGTTGCTGTGGACCTCCTCCAAATGACCAGGCCGTCGTACGTGCCGATGAGTGGTCCTGCGTTGCACCAGCATCTTCTGGACAATCTGAGCTGCCATGAAAGGGACTTAGCGACATAGCTAACGGACCGATACCAGGCTTTCGATCGCCATTAAAGGAGCCAAGAGATGGAGACGCAGACAAAATCCCAGATACCGTAAATAGTGAGCTGTCCAGGCTAAAATGACGATGGATTTTGAGAGATGCACATGATCGGTCTGCAGAAACACACACAGCATGGGAGGAGCTTTAACATAACTTTCGCCACCAATGATAGCACAGGCTTGTGAGCACGTACCAATGTATTCATGGGAAAAGGCAACTTGACCTTTTGAGTTTAGCGCTAGTGCCGTAGTTGGTAGCGATTGGTGAGGCTTAAACGAGTCTGCAAGAGAATGGAGCTTTAGAGTTCCGTCCTTTGAGCATGCTAGCATGTGTTGCCAGTAGTCATGACCATCCCATTCTCCTGGAATATCAGGCTGACCAAAGTTTGCTGACACGGGTGTGTCCATCCAAGAAATGCCCGATGCAATGTCTAAGTGGCCTTTCATCGATGCCAAGGGAATAAATGGCCTCTTTGTATCCCAAACGTGAATGCTATTGTCCATTAGTGATGCACTGGTGGCAATATGCGTCACACATGTCGGCCGCCAAGCCACACGACCGACGCTTGCAATCGTCTGAATTGTCTGTTTTGGCTGTCGAACATCGCCCAGCTCCCAGATCTTTACATAGCGATCACGTCCACCCGAGGCCAGCACATTAGCATCAGTTGGATGCCAGTCAATACTTAGTACCAAGCCCTTATGAGCCGTGAACTTGAGTTCGGGTTGTACGTTTTTTCGCATATCCCAGACTTGTACGATTCCATTTTCAAACGCAGCAGCAAACTTATTGGGATGAAACGGGCTCGCACGAACATCACGAACACTTTCCGACTTTGGCTGGTATGTCGAGATCACTTTTCCACCTCGTTTGTCCTGTAAACGGCAACAATCAATTAAAATGTAAGAATCCAACATGTGAGAAATATCCATCACAGATTGCTCTCACTTAAGCACAACCGTACCCAAAGCTTTACTGTTCCGTCCTGAGAGCCACTAATAAGCACATTCCAGTCCGTCGTGTGCCAGCAAATGCGATTCACCGCACGTCGATGTCCATTCAATACACGCTCTACTCATCATTGGAAAAAAACACCTACCCAATATCACTCTCATCATCTCCATCGAATGCTCAGTCGCTTGTTCCCCTTTCGACCCACCTTGAACATGTTTGTAGCCATCTCGTTCCAAGTTCCATATCACGACTGCACCATTTGTTGCTGCCGTGGCCAATAAATAGTCCGAATCTATTCACAACATTGTATCAATACCAAAAGACGCACTTCTCCTCCATAGAAATAACAAGAAACGACGTACGTGGATGCCACCGGATATCGTTCGTACTGAAATTAATACTTGGTTTTACTACTACACGCAGATTGCGCTTCTCGGTAAAACCAGCGGCTTCCAGCGCTACTACCTTGAGTACTACCATATTGACAAGCAATGATAAACTATAATGATGACAATAGACAGCAATCGCACTGTAAGTAAAAGGTCATTCATACCATCTCTTCCTCCTACAGCAATCAAATGATTGTTGGGTGATGTAGATAATGCATTCAAAGGCCCATTAAAGTCCATGGAAGCACGGACGCTCGCCGCAGCTCGCTGATCTGCAGCCATAATTGCTAAAATGTGAGATAATGATGCTTTTTAACCAATCCAAACACGGATACTGGATATGCATGAGGATTGGTAGAAATAAAGATGTTGGGTTATTGTATAGGTCAACCTATAACTATAATCGTAAAATTGGGTTCTAGTTTCATTATTTTAGGCGAGGAGATTGATACAATAAACACTGTTTCTATTTTTAATACGTGTGACAATATACTATTAGAATGTATGCTAGATCGTTTACGTAATAAAAGTCATTTTAGAAACGGCCGATTTTAGATGCCAATCCTTCGAATTTTCACACTCGACAGTGTTTTTTAAACGCATAAAACTCCTGTACAAGTTTTGCATACTATCACGTCTAAAAGACATTAAGTCTGTTATATATAGAAGAAATCAATCAGCAGGTTTTGTCTATCTGCAATTCGGTTGACATGATACGATAATTCTACCCAATTCGTCGGTCATTTATACCCAATATTCTCAATCTCAGCTCCATGGACATTTCGATAAGGACAGCCATAGCATGTATCATTCATTGACAACAGGTTGTGTTGACAAATGTGGTTCAACTCTTGCTTGACGCAACGCAACAACAGACCTTGTCGTAGACATAAGCTGATATGTAGGCTTGACAACGCCATTAACACTGGTGTCTTTGCAGCAGCTCAATGTAATGTACTCAGCTGTGTGCAATCAGACTTGTCATCTCACAAACACAACGCCTGGATGACCTTCGTACACTTGTAAAACTACGTACCAGCCACCCAAACCACATTCCACGAAACAGCGGCGAATAAATATATTGACGCACCGCTACGCAACGTCCACACTAGTTGCCATAAGTACAAGCATAATGACGTTGGCATCAATGTCCACCTGTATTGCTCACTTTCTGCCATCGAAAGCTAACCTCTTCTTCCCCCCTCTGTCTTTCCACTTCTCGCCCTCTTGCTCTCTATCTACCACCGCGCAATCCAATCAATATACACACGCACCCACGAGTTTTGCGAAAATAGGCTACACAAATTCACTACCAACTTAAACTGAGACGGAACGTGCCAGTACCGCCACCTGCTCCTGTAGTTTTGTTTCCATCTGCGCGTGGGCGCGTTCAGCAGCCTCCTGGTCATTAATGAGCTTGGCCTGCCATTTTTCAATGCCTTCCAGCTTCTGAATCACCAGCCGCTGCAACAAAATGATAACATTCTCAGCTGCGTGTAAGTTACGCATCCCTTCGATCGAGAGCGCACTATGCGGGTCGTAATGTGTCCTTGAGCGCCGTGCAAAATCGGACACCGGCTGCGGGAACTTTGGTGGTCTCACGTGAGTCAATTCTGACGCAAAGGACTCGTACTTGCGGCGTGCCTCTGGCTGAATCACGTGGCAACATTGCTCAATTAGATGGCCCGCCTCCACTGCTAGTGGATACGAACTGACAGCAAACTCGCGGATGCTACCGGAATAATTTGGTGATACGACTGCAGCAAGTGCCACACGCAGCAAATGCAGTGCCTTCCGGTACATTTCCTCAACACGGTCAGCCTGCTTCTTTACACTTGCTACTGCTTTAATCTCACTCGTAAAGCTTGCAATACGCGCATGTAGATCCAGCACGGCAGGCATGTCCACGGCCTGGAACAAGTTGTTAAGAATGTCTTCCTTCTCTCTTTCAAGCATCAACAGCTCTTCCTGAGCATCTTCCCAGCCTGAACTCATTCTCACCATCGCACCTGGTCCACTGCTCTCACTGCCACTCACGTCACGAGTGCTTTCGTCCAAGTTGCTTCGCCCATTCGCACTCATCCTAGAGACGCTACTGCCAGTATTCGCAAAGTTGTTGGTCGCTGCAAAGCTGTTACCTCCAGCTCCATGGACATTGCTGATATTCACAACAGCCTTGCCATTTTGCGTAATTGTCCCCAACGCTGTGGCTGACAATGCTGTGCTCTGTCTCTCAAGTCTCTGCAGCTCTTCATCCACCAGCACTGACTCACTCAACTTTGCACAAAGCTTGGTCCTTAATTTAGCCATCTTTGCTGCCTTATTTAGAGTAAACACTCGGCGAAATCCACCACGTTCGTGCTTCTCAATCTTGTCCAGCAGCTCTTTCTGTGCATGAATCATTTGTGCCGAGCTCTTTTTAGCTTGACGTAACTCACTCTTCATTTGTTTCGCGTTCGGAGCGTCGGCATCCAAAACAAGTTGGTCCTGTTGGGACGCACTCACAATCCGTTTAATTTCCTGATTCACCTGCTCGTATTTATGTAACAGTCGACGGTCCAGCACTATATTGCTTGAGAGCGTTGGTGGCAATGACGCGCGCATGTGATTGTCCGTCTCAGCGCGTCGACGACCACCGACGCGTTCACTGGCAACACGTCCAGAGCCCACGTAGCTCATGGTCGACGATGTATGAAGATGCTTCTCACTATTTGGTCGACGGTACAATACATCCGCTGATTGACTGCTGCTTTGAAATGCGTCTTGATCTCCTCCAATCGAGCTAAAGCTCTTCATATGGTAATTCGTGTCATCAAGGGAATTACTACCACGAGACGGACGCTGAAAAGCCATTTTAGTAGTTGATACGGAGGATGATTTTGCTGTATTAGAGCTCGTACGATCAGGAAAAGAGGAAAAAGTGATGTTTGTATTGCCCTTGTCCTTAGCTACGACACCATCGTCTTTAGTCGTCATGGGTCGAGTACCCATTTTTACTTATTGTTTGTGACTCTTATTGAGATAGTTAGTATGAAACTATGATGAGAGAGAGATGCAAGACAAAAAATGGGTCTTTTTTTGGAAGATAAAGAAAAAAAAAGAATAAAGTCTGACTCGAACCCGAACTTAAAACCTAAAGTGACTGACTGACTGACGTGCTCTTTACTCTGAAATAGAAAATGGGAATGTGAGCAAAAACTATTCGGACTTAACTTGCTCTTTTTACTTTACGGTCTTTTTTAGTTTACCTTTAGATACAGTGAAGCTATAAATAGGGGAAGGGAAACAAACATACCACCACCTGAGCAACTTTAAGAGACCGAAACGTGTAGCGATATGGTCACTTTGAACAAAAAAACAGTAGTATAAAGGTTCATAGTAGTATAGAATAACAAAGATACAAGAAGGGTTGCTAACAAATGACGAATTGATGAACAAATCCACGACAAAAATGACCACAGTTTTCGGTGCTACAGAAAAGTAAAAAGTATACACCTCCAAGGCCTTGTATTAATACGAAAGCATACTTGTATAATACCATGTGGCAGTATTATTACATCACTTCAGTGTGTACTTTAAAAATTGAGTTTTACATTCTGATTCTTTCGTAATCTTTTGCCACATTCACTTTGGTCGATTTTATTATCTTAGACTATATTTAGACAAAACCCTTGGTCCCTTACGGTGCAGCAACGAAGGTAACGCACGGTTTCAGCATGTGACACGCAACCAAAGTGTACAGTAACCAAAAGACTACGAGGTCAAAAAGTAGACGATTCTTTTCGAATGCAGCCTGTAGAAATAAGCTTACATTAACTATACAACTAATCACTTCCATTATATAAGATTATACAGTTCTTACTTTAAACTTCGTATTTTTCCTCTCCAATTTTCCACCAATCTTATCATTTCGATTGATTTGATCCAATCGGTATCCACCATTACGATATAAATGGCCTCGAATCTGAATCTTCATGACGTCACACTGTAATGCTGCTATCCGCCGTCCCCGCACGGACGCTGATTATATTCCTGCGCATTTACGGCGTTTTGTATTCCACTCACAGGACGATTTCTATATCTCACGTCACTTTCATCCATTACTATTGATACATCTCATGTACGAAGGATTTCTGCCCATAGCTTCCGAATTCCAGGATCAATGTTTTCTATTGCCCAAGCTTCACCGTCAGCGTTGTGTCTTGTTATTTAAACCAGAGACACCCGAGCACGTGCCCAAGATTGTTCGTAAAAGAGCAAAGAAGTACAAGTTTGTACTGAACCGAGACTTTGATAGTGTCGTTACTGGATGCCACGAGAAACACGGTGTTCCATGGCTTTACCCGTCTATTGTCGAGACCTTCAAGACCTTATACAAGGCTGGAAAGGATACTATCGAGCTTTGTCCTGGTATTAATGTTAGGCTCTTTACTGTGGAACTATATGATGTAGCCACCGACACTTTGGTGGCTGGAGAACTTGGATATACAGTTGGTAGCATTTATACGAGCTTGACGGGATTTAGTAGAGCAAATGGAGCGGGTACAGTACAGCTACATGCCCTAAGCAAGTTTTTGTACTTGGCTGGGTTTAAGATGTGGGATTTGGGCATGTCTATGGAATACAAGATGAGTCTGGGGGCTAAGGACTGTGAAAGGGATGAGTTTCTTGATCTGCTTTACAGATGGCGTCATGAACAAGTACTGATGAAATTAGATGAGAAGATGGGAGAGGATGATGTTAGTGTAGGTGGCGTAATGGTTAAGAATTTGTTTGGTCATTCAAGACCTCCGACAGGAACTGCTGCGAAGAGCAAGGATGCAACTCGAGGACAGCAGAAGAAAGATATAGCTGAAGAAAAGACTGGTGAAATGAAGGACGTGAATGATGGAAAAGACCAAGAAGACGCAACGGATGAGAAACGTGAAGCTGGTGCAAAACGAAAACTTTCGGTGGGTCATCGGCAGCAAAAGAATGAGGATCAGGAGGGCAGATCCGATGCGGATGCAAGGCCAACAATAAAAACAAACGTACTGGTGAAAAAGAACGCTAACAAGCGCCTTGGCGCTAATTGAGCTAGACAGCTTGGTTTACATTGCTCCTCTTGTACAATACTGCATGTCGATTTTTGTTAGCTTCCTAACACGTGGAAAATTTATATCAAATAATTTTTGCGTTGCTTCGTTCCATGTCTGATTCCAGTCGTTGCAGCTTTGAATAACCGTTTTTTACATTGCAAGAGGTTGTTAGTCGACATATCACACTATCCGTCAATCAAAACAACTTTGTCCTTTGCGTATCCATTGTGTCAACGAATAAGGATAACGAAAGGCTTGGCTGATAATGCCCAGTTACAGAAATCCTGCTTCGGATAGACTGTTCACAAACAAAATGCTCTCTTGCGTATTAGCATTTCGTGCTAGCTGATACAGCACAGAGCTGTTTTGGCGGATGCTAGCAAAATCAAAATAGTGGCACGATGCCATTAGTTGCTTGCAAACAAGAAGATACCACAAAAACACACGAAAGGCAGACGTACGTGTCAACACGATGCCGGATGTGAATCTGCATCTTTCTGTCGTGCTTCAAAATGCCTCGGCCTTTTCTAGAAACACCACACCCGTTGGAGCTAGCAGGAACATAGTCGAAATTCTGTCGGTCTAGAGCCTCGCTGATAACACGGTAAATCTTCCGGAACTTTTGCCAATTCACAAGGCCATCCTCCATCGTCTTCATGGCTTCCTCGTACGTAAACAAATCTTTCACTAAGATAAACCAACAGGCAAGCCTTGGCTGACCTTCGGTCAGAGCAAACGCTTGGCGATAACAGCGGTAATTGTCATCAGGCGAACATACTTGCTGAAGGCATTGATACTTTTCCTGAACAGCCGCAGTAACCAAACTCCACGTCGTATTGAGTTGCCGAATACATGGCGCTGAAAGTCCAGTAGTGATCTCAAACAGCGTGTTAAAATTGTTCATCTGGTAGCAATTATCGGCTGCATCGATAAAAAGTGTAATCATCTTAGCGCGCTCAACGGCCTGCAATTGCGGGTGTAGAATCTCGCTCGAAACCCATTCTGCTGTCGCATCGAAAAGTTCAATCAATGCCATCACGTGGGGAGCATCGCGATGTTTGTTTTCACGTGTCCATGCTTTATTTGTCAATTCACGAGGATCCAACTTCGAAAAATATTGATCTGCCTCCATCAGCGTTAGCTGATCGGCCATCTCTTGTGCAACCAGTCCTGACAAAGGCTCCACATTGTCGTAACTAATGCGTGCGTTTTTACGTGACGCTGCCGTAAGCCTGGCGCGTTGCAACGTATCCTGAATGATCTCGTCAAAGCCGTCTACGCCACTGCCGTTCGAGTTTGCTTTGATTACTGCCTCAGCGCTACCTGTTGTAATGCCACGTGCGATTTTTGGTGCCACAGCAGCGGCACTTAGAATCTGATGCTGAGATCCATTACGCAGCATCCGATCTTTCGTCGCGACTGCTGTTACAGTTTGGTCGTCTGCCCCAGCAGGAACACACCGACTTCTCAGCTGAAATATGTCACCGCTTGAGTTTTTTGTCCGAAGTTTCACCATAGATTTCTCTCGTTTTGGGTCCGAAGACGATCGTGCCAAGGCTAGTTTGGTTGCAGTATGTATTCGCGTACGGGAATGTGATGGCCCTCGGTCACTACTGAGTTGGTGTACAGCTGCTTGTGATACTGCGCTATGGGAATCGTGAACAATATCACCTCCAGGCCTCGAAAATGATTTATCAGGCAGCGTCAAAGCTGAAGTCATAAGAGCAGAACCCTTGTGAGATTGCGTTGTTGCCTGAGCTTGCGCTTGGACTTGAGCCTGGGCTTGAGCTTGCTGCTTTAGTGACGACAATAGCTGAGCGACTGTAAGCAGCAAATTCTCCGCGTGTCGGCGTATGGATGGAATGGGCGACGTGTTTTGAATCTCACTAAGAAAATTCGTCAGTTTCTTCTGCGCCTTCCTATCGTTCGCAAGATCCTGATCAATAAAACCACTTTCCTTGATCCAAAATTTGAGAACACTCAGTAGCCTCATGATGGACACGGTAGCTTCCATTCCTGTGTTAATATCAGATCTTGCCGTCGAAATAGATGTAACGTTCGATGCACGCTGCTCACTCTCCTCCTCTAGCGTAATTTGGTCCAGCAAACGCTGCGTTTTTTCAATGGTCTCCGCATCAACGCCTGCACAAAGTGATAATACAGCCGTGTAGCGCTTCAAAAGTTTCTTAATGAAATCATATGGCGAGCAAAATGAACGATACGTCAAAAAAAAAACGTCACGAAACTCCGTGTCGAACTGATGAGCATCTGTAAGACGAGCAATAAGCTTGCCAAGTGATGCATGAGAGATTTCTCGTTTGCCACCCATGCCGCGTTCTGGAGTCTCATAGCGAATGCGAACAGGACGTGGCTTCGCGGTAGCATCATCATTGCACTCTGCATTGTCGTTGAAATGCGGAATCTTACGTGCCAACGAACGAGGTGTAGATAGGCCTTGTACGTCGGCAGATAGCGATAAAGGAGGCGGTGGCACTAGTAACTCACTACTGACCTCTGGTGATGCAGAATGCTTCAAACCACGAGACGAGCTGCGAGCTCGCGTTTTGTTCTGGCTCAATATAGGTGAGTCACTTCCGCATCTCCGGCTAGTGACCTTAACTTGGCTAGGCGGTGGCGGACTCTCCATTAGTTGGCAACTGCGATGATTGCTGTATAGCCGATGTGAGGATGATTGGTCCCGTCCATGGCATTCGTCATCTGTGCTGCTAGAGTTTCCCGATGCTGACCTCATTAATCGAATCTGCCATCTTTCTAAACTGTTTGGCGTCCCTCCAGAACTGCTGGTGGTTGCAAACCGCGGACTGTTAGAACCGGTGCGCAGACTGTAAGCATTGTCTCGCTTTTCAACCGGCGTTGGCTCCAATAACGTTCGATAAGAAGTTTTACTGTTATCTGGTGCTGTAGCACGTCGTTTCACAACCATCCGAGAAGGTTTCATAGCTATTTGCTGCTGTCTCAAATATTCCAAATTTCCCACCGTCTCCTCCTTGTCACTTCCTAGCCCACCCGATGACGAAGACGAATCATTTTCCTGTGATGCAGGCATTGACTTTGAAATCGAATCAGGGCCTTCCTTTTCTGTATGAGAGGTGGCAAAAACCTTGGACACAAACTTCTCGGGTCCAATGTCAGTACTGACTACTCCAAGCTCTGGTAATGCATTATCTGTAGCTCTTAGCTCACGTCCATCTCGTATTTGTCGTCGTCGATGCTGACTGTGACTGTGACTATGATGATGTGGAGATGAGATTCCTCGCTGTCTTGCACTTTTCTGATCATGGTGAAGCTGACTGTGATGTGTATGATGATGACGTGAATGTTTTGCATCCTTTTGTCCTGTTAATATCTCTGTACCATAAGAAATATTGTCAATTGATGACGTCGTAGACATTGTCGACGATGACGTGGCTGTAGCAGTCGCTACTCGATCGTCCCCGACGTATTTTTGATCACGTCTTCTTGTAACATTACCAGCACTTTTTTCACCTATTGTAGATACCGAAGAAGAAGACACTGATGAGCTTATGACACTTGAAAGACTGGCATTAATGCGAGTGGTTGAAGGCAGTAAATTGCGCGCTACGAGCAACGAAGGACCTGCACGAGTCGTCTCAGAGGCCACACGGTCATGAGCCATAGCAGTGTATAAAGAAGAAGAAGAAGAAGAAGAGAGAGAGAGAGAGGATAGTGAGGCAAGTGGCACGGCCCGGCACTTGAATCGCTTGTTCGGAGGAAGCGAAAGCAAAAACGTCGAAAATGGGATTTTAACCTATGAATGTGTAGAGGAAGTAATCTAATTGGATAAAAACATAATTGATTTTGACCAATGCGAAAGCAGAAAGAACCGCACCATGGCTCAGATAGTATTTAGTGTTACTTCATATAAGCTTGAAAGATTGTAAAGGGGCGAGATTCCTCATACGTTCGCATTGAATAAAAAGGGTCATTCCAATTGTCTTACACTTCAACGTGCAACAAGTGTTCAGTTGCAACAAGTGAAAGAATACAAACAGGTCCATTCATTGCACCATTATTAAGGATGAATACTATATGAGCGTATGATTATTAACACTATAGGACCCTTCAGACCATTCATTTTCTTTATCTCTTATTAACATGAATCTTTATCATTAAAACGCTGTTGCAGTAGATCAAAAATGGCAAAGTCGACGATCGAAGTTGGTAACAGTTGAGGAATCAAAGGCTCAATTTTGATAATTTTGAGGTCACGCTGAACGTTATAGAAATAAACAGCAACACACACATATATTGTGTTAGCGACGTTCTATGCATTCTGCAGCATAGACATGTATGTAACATTAGTAACAGTTTCTACCACGAATTGCACTTCCTTCGCATTCCGCTTAGGTGCTGGCCGTTGAAAGTAAAAGGACACACGTAATCCGACTAGTAGTTCTTCTAGTATTTGAGGTATGTGAGGGTACATAGGAAGTATCTCTTTCTTCATTTTCAATGCTGGGATCCCAAGCAACGACTGTGCAACTTCATCAAAAAGCATTGCATCGGCTACGGTTGATCCATATACAAGTTGGAGCTGTCTAAATGAATGAGTAATGAACGAGCAACAAAAAGCTACAAACAAGACTTTAATAAGACATACCTTTAGTCGATACTTGAATTGCAACTCATCAAAGTGACTAATAGTGCTACAGGATGAGCATTGCAGTCGTAACGGTTCAATACCTACTCTCCCATCGTTACTGGTCAACTTTGAAGTCATGGAAGTGAAGCATTTCGGGCATGCCGCATAGCTACCTCAAGCACAATAACCAATCGATCATTAAAATCCTGCTACTTCAGTAACAATAGTAAATGTATCATCATAAATCATAGAAGTACATCATGTCGTAGAGTGAAGCCTTTTCAATTACTCCGCTAGGAACATACTCGGTCATAATTAATGGTGAATGTCTTTACACTACACTATTGCATATCAATATGCTCAACAAAAGGATACCACTCAATCACTGGAATGTCTCTGCTACTTCAGCGTTTTGGTGAAAGACGTGGTCACTCGATATTCGCTTCATTGCAATTGCTCAAGCGAGCTCAAGTCCATGTTAATGCTACTTGGAATGCTTTATTACCTTCTGAAGTAGTAAATGGACTTTTGCAAGATGGTTATTACGTCGTGCATGATGCGTTCCAGTCGAGTATCTCTATCGTTTACGTGAGGAGATGGAACAGCTACACATGAATAGCCAATTGTATATAAATTCGACCCATTTCGTGCTTAATAATGCAAAAGTACGGAACACTAGTAAATCTACGACGCAAAAGACGCTGCTATTGATGAAGCACAATATCTATGAGACAGAGTTGGCAGTCGAAACGATTCGTGACCAGACTTCCGTCCCGTGTCTACGAGGTTTCTTTAAGGCAAGTGATATTCAATTCGTTGCATCAAGCGTTGCCAGATTGGTTTGGGCTAGTAAAACACATGGTCAAGATCCAGTACAATGCTGGGCAAGGTGCTTGCTTCCCAATGCATTTTGATTCCTACGGCGACGACGGCAAGTGCGTGGCTGCAGTGCTGTATCTGAACGAGGACTGGAAGGAACATGATGGAGGCGAGATTGTGCTATACCCATTTCCAAGACCGCGTGTTGTGTTGCAGCCGTGTTTTGGCCATTTGGTGCTTTTCTTGTTGCAGCAAATGCTCCATCGAGTGATGCCGGCCTTTAAGCAACGCTATGCTCTTACGACGTGGATCTACCACTCACCTAAACCAAGTGCAAAGGCTGAAAGCGTGGCCTTCTATCAGAGTATGGCTAATGTGGTAGACACAGTATCGCGTGAAGACAATACGCCTTTTTGGTCAATGAGCGCGAGGATTTTCCAATCTCCGTTTCGTAGACATCTCCTCAAGTTGGTCTATGAGAAAGAGTGAACACAGTCGCTACAGGATTCTCATTCGCACACTGAAGCATTTGATCAGTACATGAGTTTGCACGAGGCGGAGTTGCACGTGATTGAGGCTGCAGTGGTCTAAATGCTTGATAATTTCCGAGTCAAGAACGGTGACAGACACAGCAACTTACCGCAAACGAAGAAGGAGTTAATGCAACAGATGGAACATGAAGACAATCGCAAGTTTATCCAACACCTCCAATTGCCGTGGTTTTAAGGTTAGCAGCTACATACACTAACATGTTTGTTTTACTTGGTGCATCCGCGAGATAATAATGTCCAGCTCTTTGGCTCCTTCTTACCTTGGATATAAAACGAGTCGGTAAGGTTTGACACCACACGAATGATTAGGCACGATAACAAGGCGTTCGCCGATACTAGGCGAACGAATGCCTTCAGTTTTCTTTATCCAGCCGTGTTCTTCTGACAAACTCGTCACTTTAAAGCAAATGAGTTCTTGGCCATCATCTAAAAGAGTCTTGTTCTTACTCGGCTCTTTCACCACTCGATCAAAATCCTTTTGGTAAAAGGCAAGACCATAACAAGACGATCCAAATTCACCTGCTGCTCGTACTCCATCCGAGCTTAAGACCTTTGAACCAGCGTCAACGATAAAATTGTACTTATTTGAGCTGATCACCGTTGTAAGAATGGTCAGTGCAACATCTTCATTGGCTTTAAAAGCTTTTACTGAGTCGATTGCTTGATAGTGGTCAAAGATGGCTACAGTCCTTAATTATAGGGTAGTAAGTACATTGTTAAAAAAAAGAGTGGCTCAGAAATGGCGACACAATTGGAGACCGAGACTTGCGTGTATGTCAACTCGTCGGCCTATGGCTTCTGCGTCCTCCCCGAAGAAAAATTGCCGGAGCTTAAGCTACAATTATTGCAAGTTGCAACGGATTTTGGAATCGATCAGCTTCGTGGGACGATTCTCTTGTCAACAGAAGGTGTGAACATTCGATTGTCAGGGACTTTGGATGCCGTGGAGGCCATGAAAGTTGCAATTTCTAATCTGTCGTCGGATATCAAAGGACTTGAGTTTAAGGATTCATATTCCGAGCGTATGACGTTGCCGAAAATGCTGGTAAGGATTAAGAGAGAAGTGATTTCAATGGGAGTGGATACGGTTAATCCCGCAGTGGACGGACTGGCAGCTCACATTTCAGCTGAAGAGTTCAAAACATGGATGGATGCCGGCAAAGATATGCTAATTTTGGACACCAGGTGCGTTTTAAACAAGAGCAAACAGTTGTGTTTATGAGGTAAGGATAATGTTCACGAGTTCTATGATTCGTGTGACAGAAATGACTATGAAGTTCGCTTAGGCACGTTTGAGAATGCAGTAGATTTGGATATCAAAACATTTCGTGCATTTCCTACAAAAGCTCGTACGCAACTACAAGAAGTGCCCAAGGAAAAACCCGTCGTGATGTTTTGTACCGGTGGCGTACGATGTGAAAAGGCATCGTACGCATTGCTACGTGAAGGTCACAAAGAGGTTTATCAACTAAACGGAGGTATACTCAAGTACTTTGAAAAGGTGGGAGGTGCACACTTTAAAGGTGACTGTTTTATCTTCGATGACCGTGTGGCTCTCAAGCCAGATCTGACTGAAGCAGCAGTTGTATGCTGCTTTGCCTGCCGTAGTCCACTGACTATAGAAGAACAATTTTCACCAGATTACGAAATTTACAAGCATTGTCCATACTGCATAAACGGTAAGATGGACGGCCAAACGCTAGAGCGTGAAGTAGCCCCGATCGACACATTACCGTCGAATTTCTAATGAAGACCATAGAAATGGCTACATCTGACTGAAATTGAAAAGTAACATTTTGTTTAGCCAATCAAAAAAGCGACAATAGTCATCAGCATAACGTGGTTAAGTAATCGATAATGTTCATACAAAATCGAGCGTCGCGCAACCCCGTCCCAGGAACTGTGCGGACTAATTCCAGCGAGGACGTGCTCAACACACGGCATCAATAGACACTGTAATGCTCTAAGTGTCAATGGACATTTGACATTGAAATGTGTACAGCACTTTGTTGCCAAAATCGGTACGTGAGAAGCAAAAACACATGAAAAATGGATGACCAGCAATGCCCTGGAATGAAAAGTAAGGGTAAATCATCTGTTGCATTGCGTCACTCCATAGTGTTGATGTAGCTGAAGTCCATTAGCAAATAGTCATCCGAGCGACGATCAAGGTCATGTCGATAGCTACATACTCGAAACGATTGGTTGGCGCATCGGCGATGGTCTTGTACGGATATGCGTCGTACCCGATTGTAGAGCCCACAAGTACGCACTCGCTGCGACTGGCACAAGGCCTTGATGCCTATGAACTCGACAGTAATGACCGCTTTGCCATCCACGTGCGGCATGTTGCTGCCTGTGTGGGCGTCAAGAACCCGGAACGGATATCTGTTCGCGTTGGAGTGGAGTCTGCTGGTGCGTCTATGGGAGCTAATCTCATGATTGATAAGTGTGGTGCGTGCATGGTGCTGCCCATAGAACTCTACGACGCATTCTACGCACCACGGCACGTACACAAAAAATACGATATTCCAAAGCGAAATGAGATCGACTTTGTCCTGGCTCACGAAAGTGCTCACATTGCGAAGAACCACTCCATGTACACTGCAGCCTTCCTACCGGCATTGCTTGTTGGCAATTGCATGGCTATCTACAAGATCCCGAAAAAATTAATTGCTGGAATTGTCGGTGCTTTGGGTATGGTTGGAGGTCATTTGTGTCTTACATGGAGCTTGGAGCATGAAGCTGACCAGGTGGCTGCTGAGAATGGTTTTGCATGTGGTGGCATTAGTTATTTTCAACGGAAACTGACTCGCAATTGTGAGATGCGGTCAGTGCTCAACACTCTGATGATTACGAAAAGTGGAAACTACCTTGGTGACACTTCGCACCCGCTCTTAACGTCGCGCATTGAGCGATTGAGAAATTTGACTTGTATTACGAAGACTGTCAAGTTTATGGCTAGTAAATAATACGACAAAGACTACCAGTAGACTTTTTCATACACGTCAAATATCCTCCCTCACCTAACCATTTCGCGCCAATTTTCGGATATCTGTCCTTGTCCTGTGTATCATTTCCTCCTCTTTATGGCGCTACACATACGCACGTAAGCACAAAAACGCCATCACATGTCAGAATCAATGAAGCAGATATTACCTCGTCTACATGCACTTGAAGACATCACGGTGAAGGCTACAACTTCAGTTACAGGCACGATCGATGCCGCTACCTCGACAAGTTTTCCAGCTCAGAAAAAGCGCAAGACCGAAGCCTTCTCTTCTGCGCCCGTTGTACTAACCGATCAAGTTTTACAGTCTCCTGTACTAACGTCAAGTATTCCCAATACATCTGAGAATGTCTCAAAGATCGAGTCAAGCATTATCAAGCGCGTGGCATTGAAACGAACGCTTCCGTACACGCCTTCGGTAAGTCCGGCGTCAGCTGAAGACTACTACTTGGTTCTCCAGCGCATCTGCTCAGGCCAAATGTCTTGTGATAGATTGCCAATTGCTGGACGTGTGAAGGAGCATCGCATCATTCGTGAGATGTTGAAAGGCGGAGAGATACAGACCGGGAGTCTATTTATCATTGGCCCGCCAGGAACAGGCAAGAGTTCGTCCGTGACGGAGTTGCTACTGGAACAAGGCTTTATTATGGCTGGAAATGATGTCACTACATTGAAGCGTAACCGAGTCGAGAAGAGTATAAAGACAGCTGTAAAGCTTAACTGCAGCATGTTTACGGATCCCGTAGCTTTGTATGCTATTGTGGCACAGCAAGTAAAGAAAGCAACAAGTTGGAAAGTACCGGAGGAATTTGACCCATTTGATATGGACAAGTTTATTGCTTTACAACAGTGTGCTGTGCCTTCTACCATGGAGATGATTGCAGTTGTGCTAGACGAAGTGGATCAGTTGTTACGACTTCCTGTTCGCATACAGCCAGTGGTGAAAGATGTCCTCCATTTCTTTGTGCGATGGGCCGCTACTGCAGCTCATAATGTCAAGTTCTTGGGTATTATGAATGGCGTCGACATGTATCAACAAGTATCGCGGATTCATGTAACTCGTGAAAGTGCTCTTGACACGCACATTCCTCGAGTGGTCTTTGGGTCTTATTTGCACCCGGATCTACTACTAATCATGCAAAGTTACGTGCTAAACGCATTATCGTCAACGAAAGATATTGCAGAAGTGGCCAAGCTCATCGAGCCGCGCGCAATCGAGCTCATTGCGAGAAAGGTCGCAGCCCGTAATGGTGACGCTCGCTTGGCCATCAGTTTGCTGCAGCAATCAGCTCGCCATACGCTTCAACGAATCGGTAGCTTCGAGACAGTGTCAGCATCTTCGACACAAGTAAAGGTCACGATGCGTGACGTATTCCAGTGTGTGACATCAATACTATCATCCCCTGTTATTCAGCAAATCGAGCAATTGCCCCGACAAGCCAAAGTGCTCTTGTACGTGATCACCACCCTTGCTCCTGGCTGCAATGAAAACGGTAGCAACAACCGCTCCAAGGGAACGGTACGACACTGTGATATGAATATGGTCAGTGAGAAACTAGCGCATTTGCGTGGTTTACCACAGACTGCTTGGGTTCCGCGCTTGTCGCGTGAGGAACTTCAAACGCATCTGATGTCACTGGACTGTTACGGTCTGGTGAGACAGGGGCGCAGTAAGCGCGGCGAGAAAACTTGGCGGCCTGCCACAATAATGTCAGCACACACTTTTTGGTCGATCAAGCTCAACTCCTGTGTAACAATGGGTGAAATCTCGGGCGCTCTACAAGATGACACAACGCTCTCCAAATTGCTGTTGTAACTAGTGATGAAAAGTACTCTTACATTCTCGTAAGCTTAAAAGACAAATTTACTCCTTCAACGACGTCCTGCAATGACGGCTGCAGTTTCCGTATGCATTTGACGTTCGAGTGCTTTCTGTGCCTTTTGTACTAACAGTGCTAGCAGAGACCGATCTTTTGCTGAGCGCTGTTTTAGTTTTTCCGGTATCCTCCTGTCTACGGCTTCCTGAACAGCACGCGGCAATTCGCGAGAAATGAACTTGAGGATCTCTATACGATACATGCAAGTTGTCTCCAAATCTAGGAGCATCGGATCCGCAGACGTTGATGCCTGTAACAGCGCAAGCTTCAAACGGATATCGGATCCCACAGCTTCTCCCACTGCGTCAGCATCAGCTTCACATGTTGGCTCGTTTTGGTCACAATGGACGCGTAAGAAGCCTGTCACGCGCGCAGTAATACAAGCTAGCAGATCGGTCCGAATCTCCTTGGCAATGCGGCTTAGTTCACGAACCGCAACGTCCTCGGGAGAATGAACGCCGTAACATGTCTGCGGGTCCGTACCAGAAGTAGCTAAGTCTACGCGAAGCCGCTTTAGCGGCGAACGGTGTGTTGTCGGAGATGGGTGACTAATTGGGGCGCTTTCGTACCATCGCTGCTGGTGCCTATTAATCTGCTCCCGCTGCTGTCGGCTGTACGAAGGAGGCCTGGTCACGTAATTATGGCTGGGTCTTGGACTCGGTCGACTGTTCGGACTGACATTCATCATCAGCGTCTGAACTGGTCGCAATTGAAAAGACCCCGAGGCCGGAGTTCGAGGTGTCCTAACGTCACGCGGTGTACCTATTGGTTGATGTCCTTGACGTAGCTGCAGTAAGGCTAGTTGTGGTCCCGTGACACTGGCACTAGCTGTTGCACTGGCCAAATTTATTGATGGCAGAGCTTTGGATTGGCTCTGTGCTACAGAAGGAGAGTCCGTATACGTGGCAGTCTGAAAAAAATCAAGTCGATTTCTGCTTTTCCCCTCCTCGTTCTCCGCTCGACCGCAACGTTGCAGCAAGGTCTGCAAGAGGTCCATAAGGTGCTGGTTGGTTGTCTTCATTTTGCGCATTTCTTCACGCAGACCTTCTACTTCCGCTCTCAATTCATCAAGCTCGACACGATCCACTGGTGTATAAGCCGCTCCAAAAGGAGAAGTTGAGACCTTTGCATCACTCGGTAATCGTCTTCTAATTTCACATAATAAATCTCTCCTGCCCCTTACAAATCGTTCATGACGAAACTCCCACCAATCCTTTGGACTCGAATTCCCCTCGACAGCTTCCGGTTCACCTCGAATCTCCGATTCCTCCAATGCCGTAGATGCAGCACGTACTTTTCTAAATCCATACAAATTCAATTGTCGAACAAATGAACTAAATTTACGATGTTTAAAGTACGTCGGAATCACGTGTTCAGCAAAAGCAGCCGGTTGTTTAACCACAAAACTGTCCCCATTGGTTGTCCAACTTGCTACTTCGGGTGGACAATGAGCCAAGAGTTCATATGTTTTTTCCAAAAACAGCGCCGCTTCTTCGCGTCGTGACCGTTTTACATTTCGTCCTGACGTCAGATGATATTCGCTGTTATTATCATCACCCGTAGTATCAAATGAATGATAATGATCATGCCCTGGTGAAGTCGTTGAGACATCAACACGTATTCGAAGTAAATCATTATCCTCAAGTGGATAATTCTCTCCTTTCACATTTAACGTCATTATTCCTTACTGATCACGAACGATGAGGACAATAAAACCCAAATGAAAAGGATAAGTCGTATTTGGCTTGGTGTTGAAATTTTCAAGCTCGTTTGTTTAGTTATTCAAGTGATTGTCTCAATTCAATTGTGACGCGTGCAGTCGTCTCTTTTTAACGTCTGTATTATATTGAGGCGAGACATGCAGCTCATTCTATTTTTCCCATTCTTCAGGTTTTTGTTGCTGATCACGAGTTTCTGTACAGGCAAAATTACTGTGGATTTGTAATCTTTTTCTTTTCCATCGGACCATAAAGATGGTTTTATAGGGATTAAAAAACGATGTATAGTTGTTTTATCACTGTTGAGGAATATCATTGGTTTTATTTAAGTTTGAGAAGCACAAAAATGGACACGACATTGTCTTGAGGTTTGTATACTGAATACAGATGCGAGATACTTTTATGAAAACAATCTTGGAGTTTTGGGCACCTAAAAGCTCGATATTTGGCGTAAATAAAACCAGCATAAAAAAGCATCTGAGGAAGAGCTCTCTCCAGTCCAACATGTCCATTGCATCGAATAGATGATGTCCCTTTGTCCTCCGCGGTTTTTCAAACCATGCCCTAAGAACGTGGGAGAGACGGTGAAAAGTTACACCGAATCATGGACCAGTTTTCGTTTTTCTCTAAAAAAGAGGAAGGTCGGTCATGTATGATACTAATCATCAGATTCAGTCACAAAAACTTTGCAATGTAACGCCATGCAATCCTTTTCCAGTTTGCCGGTTAATTTATTTATCATCGATGCATTCATTGGCCTAGTACTAATAATCACAACAAAATCAAGTAGCTGTCTCTTCCGCACGACATAAGAAGCAAAGCAATAAAAGTACGAACATATAGCTCGAATCATCATCATCATCATGCATCTGCGAACCTTGGTCTCATCTTCTTTCGTCTCCATTTCCTATCATTTCATGTCAGAAGATTGCAATATAATGAAGCCATTAATAAGCCTAAAACACTCGTTTTAAAGGTTATTAGAAGGCATACACACACAAACAAACAAGACACATTCGATGGTAGGACATTGGATCGAATTGGAAATACCACCTGCCACTTCCAATTGCAGATCATAAGTGAAACGCTGGCTTGTTGGAACAGCCCTTGTATAAAAAAGACCTAAATTTTCATAGCCTTGCCCATTTTGAGCGTTTTTTTCGACTTGAGATTTGTATTGTACAGAATTTATGCGCATTTTTTCGACTCAACGTGTTACGTTTTCGAGAAATGGCTACGACGTCGTCGATAAGCTTGGAAATGCCCTTACGACGCCATATGCAGCGTGATTTAGCACGTGTGCTATTAGACCCTCCATCAGGAGGTGTTGCTGGTATGTATACAAGCTTTTTTTCTCTAATTTTATACCGTCACACGTCACTTGTAGATTATTTTTCAAAGCTTATGTGCAGGAATGTGTCCATTCTACAACCATTGGAGTGGAGGCGACTTTTATCTTTTTATTGCAAGTAATTGAAGAACTGGACGATGCAATTCAAGAGTTTTTGACCACTTCATCACATCATCAAGCACTAAATCATGAGAATGAAGTGGAGTTAGGGACGTTACTGTCTGCTGCATCATTGGTAAGAACAGATTGAGACTTGGATTGCAATGCTCTTGTGTTGATACTTGGACATAAATTAACCTGACCTGATTATGGTGATGGTGTTGTTATGATGATATTGTTGTGATGGTGCTTGGTGGTTATTTGGTAGACTGTTCGGTATGTGACAGAGAGACAAGCTATGATACCATTGTTGCAACGATATCGTGATGCATTCAAGATAGTGCTGCAGTATCCTGCATGGACACACAAGTGCTATTATGGACTAAAAACTGTGGCATTGATGGGATGCACACGAGTGCTTGAGTCCTTTGGGAACGAAGTTACGGCTAACGACGTGCTGAAACAGTTGAGATGGTTATTTCCGCTGTTTAAGGATGCAAGTATTCAACATGAAGAGCTTGTGCAGCGATTGAATACGTTGTTGCGTCCGGCATGCGAGTATGTGGCTGTGGCATTGGAAACGCACCCTATCGCTCGAGAAGCTATGTTCACTGAGGTACATTAACTTGGCTCAGGTTGGTGTGTTTTTTTTCAAAAGCGATTAGTCTTAGAGCAGTTGATGGTTTTGCTGGTTTGTAGGTACTTCCGCAACTTCTAGAGCTACTGATGATGATTGATGGAGACAAATACGCGACAGTGGTGGCTGACGCAGTTAAGGTAGAGTTGGCCACGACTGCTGCAGTGCTCTTGGAAGCAAAGTATCCGTACACGTCTTCAAACGCGTTCGCGCTGCTGTCGGTGCCCGATTTTGTTGAGGAGATTGAAGTAGATGAATCCAAGGTATCGGCTAGTAGCTCGATGTTTTCTGTAGCAGCTGACGTCAAGTCTGATCGAATGGAAACTATTGGCGAGGAAGAAGAGAAGCCGTTGGCTACTGATATTGCGAAGCAAATGGAAGAGAACTGCTGTAAGGTGCTCTGTTCTTGGCTGGAAATAGACACTCGCAGAATGGTGGCAGTACAAACACTCGCTGTATTGTACCGGGCAATTGCAAGCGACGCTGGGGCAGATAGCGTAGCAAAAGGCTCGATTTCACTTACAACGCCTCTTGACGTGATGACGAAGGCGTACGTTGGGTCTTGTGCGCTTTCGATGATTTTTGTGTCTCTAGTTTATTGACTTGTTTCGTTTTTGGATTCGCAAGGCTGAATGATACACACATGACCGCACTTACTGATTTCGAGTTCTACAATGCTCTACTGGAGTCTATCCGTGACATTTGCCTTTTTCAGCAAAAGCTTGCTGCATCTACGCTGGAAGATACTTTCAAGGCCATGAGTATTGTAGTGCCGCGGCTGGAGGTAAGCTAGATGCTTGTATAACAAACTTCGTCGTCGTCAAGAACGAGCGATTGACTAGCTTGATCTGGCGTTTTGACTCAGGTCGCATTAGCTTCTTTTCCTAGAAAGCAGTCGCCTGAGCGACGTAGCGCAAAAGGAGCATGCTTCACAATTCGAGGGACGCTTGTGGAGGCATTCCTCTCTTGGCTCCACCACCCAGATGCCTCCAGGTTGCTTACATCTCAGGTGGACTTTTTGCACAATGTGGCTGGCACTCTTGCTGATCCACGCGTGTACGGTGACGTGCTGGCTATATTACGTGGGTCTACCGTTCTGGAGGCTAGGAAGGAGTATGCATCGGGCCGACAACTCGCTGTCGTGACGCTCTGCCAGGCCATAAATCAGCTGGACCGGTATTCCAAGTCCACGGGAAACCGTATTGTATCAGGTCTCACTCGTATAGCAGCGGCCTGTCGTGAGGATATTTACTCGCTTGCAAATGAGCTCGTGCTTCCTTTACTTCCCTCAATGCTCGATGGGTCTCAGTGGGGAAAGTTTTTGCGACTTCGGACCGAAGCTGTGGCAACAGTATTGGTTGGATGTGCTGAAAACGATGACTTCCAGGTACGTGTTGATACAGGTCACTTGTGTTGTTGACATGTCTGCGAATATTTATGGTTTTACTCTTGATGGATAGCAGACGGAAAGCCACACTTGGATCAGTGACTTCATTAGATTCTTGCTAGACCCGGTTGTGTCTTCGGAGAATGTGCATTCTTTCATGATTGTATGCGGATTGATCCGTGCTGAGCGCAAACTGCTCCTTCATGTCGTGTCATTTTGTATGGCAAATCCACACACGGTGAAGCAGACTTTGCATGAACCGCTAACTCGATGGCCACTCTATGAAGAGGACGTCGATCTTGTTGTAGTTACGCTTGAACTGCTGGAAGCGTTGTTAAGCGTTCAGTCTCTTCGAGCTACAGTTGATGTAGACGTGATATATGCGACTATTTTGCAGCTTTCCGAGAACGCGGCAAGTGAAGGTTTGGAAGAAATTCTGTGTGCGTGCAAGAAAGTCACGGATTCATTGGGATCGCATCTGTAAAAGGATCAGACAGCCTCTTGGTTTTTCCTATGAGCTGGTTTTGTCAGTCAAGCAAGCGGGATTGCAAAAATTGTGACAATCCGCACCCGATATCTTTTCCAACACGTGCCGAACAAATCGCGGATGGAAAGTGGTCTTACACCTGTGTGAAGAAGATGTCTAGGCAAAAAAAGCAGATTGTCTCGTGATGCAATGTATCATCCAGTAAAGACTTGACATCACGATGTATTTGTACATGAGCGTTTCTTAGAATTGTAATCAGAGGTGACATGTATTGACGACCTAGAGATGCGCGTTGAATTCATGTCATACTTTCTGCATGATACTGTAGCCCCTCCTCATCAGTGATTTGGAGATTTCGAATATGTCGTAGAACCATCAGTCAGCGTCATGGATCACGTTTTTGCATGTGTGATCAATGATTCTAGTGCGAGAAAAGCTCATACTATCAATAGCACTGTTCAAATACAATCGCGCGCAAGACCGAGATTCTTCATTACGAAACTATGAATTTGGCACACGACATGGCACCTCCAGCAAGAAATCTCGAGACATTCATTCAAGCTGCACTCAAAGCAAAAAAAAACCCATCAAAACCACCGAAAACGTTACGTGGGAGATGCAAACAAGTTGTTGCCAACTTTACGTTCTTTTGACGATACGTCTACTCCATCCATTCAAACTCCAGTCAAAACACGATGCAAACGCAAGTCAAGACTCAAAACCTTTATGTTCGAAAATGCACCTTTCGAGCTCGAGGTCTTGTAATAACAGCTCAAGAGTTGGAAAATGTGAAAGAAGAAGCGGAAGAGGTTGAAAACAACATTCGAGCAAAGTTTGCACGATTTGGACACTTGCAAAGTCTTGCAATTGTTCGACAAGAGAATGATGAAGAGAATGGTGTTTTATGTGGTGATGTCATTGTCACATTTTGTGATGAGAAAGATGCGGCATCAGCTTTCAGTTGGTGCAATGGGGTTTTCGTTGGTGAAAAGATGGTCACGTGTGTGTGGGAAGAACTGCAGAGTGACAATGAGAATGAGGAGAAAGCAAGTGTGACAGTATGCGGTATGTTGACATTGGAAGAGTTACAAGACCCTGACGAGTTTGCTGCCGTAGAAGAAGAAATGATGCAAGTTTTTAGCAACCATGGAAAAGTGAAAGAGATGCACATTGGTGAGACTACAGGAGACATTACACTGACTATTATTGATGAACAAGTTGCTCCTATAGTGGTGCAGCGGATGGATGGTTCACGGTATGGTGGCCGTCTATTGACAGCAAATCTTACGCTTCAAAATGGTGCGGGTGTGGAAACAAACGTCAAAGGTGTGAACGACCTACCGATAGTGAAGACGAAACGTGTTGTAGCTCCTGTCGTTCCGGTACTTATACTTCTTGTTGTTGTCCGTGAGGATTGAGTAGGATATGCCAACTGCTAACGATATGATTGTCTATTTCTTACACCTACGGAGTCACGTGAGGTGCAAGATCTTGTTAGTGCCCTATTGAAGCGGCTTGCTGCTCTTCAGGTGAGCCAAGTGCTGAAAACTCCACACATCAAGCACTTTTGAGGCGTTGATACTTACCGAATCGATTGCATCCCTCAGGACCGTGCGCATACGCAGAACCCACGACATGACAAACGGTCAAGGCGTTTAGTGCTTGGAATGCACGAAGTGCGACGAGGTCTTCTCCGTGGCAAGATAATTTTGCTTGTCATGGCAACTGATCCGGATGGATGTCAAGCTGTTGAAGAAAAACATGCAGAGCTAGTGACGATTGCAACGGAGCAAGAAGTTTCCGTCCTCGCGCCAATGAACAGGTTCGATATGAATTTGCTGCATAAAAGTCTGGGCTGAGCTAGTTCGGTAATATAACGGTCCTGGTGTTACAGGCGATAGCTGGGGCGGAGTCTACAAAAGAGCGTGCGCGAGAGTTGCGTTGGAGTATATTCCGTCGAAGGTGCTCACGATCTGTTTCAGCAGCTATTGCAAAAGATGTCACGGTAACAAACATGCGTTACATTGCTTTATTGAGCAACGTCCTGACGAGAATTGATGCCGAGTTGCCAGCATTGGTAGTACTGATTGCGATCAATCTTGGGATCATCGCCGCGTGACTTCCTGTGCCAGATGTACCGATGTGAGTCAAGCCGAAGGCAATAGCAAACTTAAACAACGAACCTCTTATTTTTGTTGGCGAGAAACTCGTTGATACATCTGCACGCTTGGATTTGGCTCATCGCGATAGCCTTATTGGCCGCGGTCATATACTTGTGGAAGTCCATATCTTCGCGCATGGGGGTGCTATTTGGCAAGAAAGTGAGCTGGTTATCATCACTAGTGTTGTTGCAGCTGCTCTGAACGAGTCGATCTTCTAGAATCTTCACTAGTTTTGGTATGGATCGGCTTGCTTGTAGACCACGTGCAACGATGTAGCGTTCCGAACTTGCGGGGCGGCTTGTCTGCAGACATGTGATAATCACGTGAGTTTGCTGTCGAACCTCGTACGATGCGAAAAACCTACAATTGGTTTGACGACTGCAAAGCGCTCGAAACAACGATGCAGCAACCAACATAGTTGCAACATTGCAGGCGTTGTCAACTCGAACGTCTTACAGACGAAATCTCCACCAACGCTTAACACGGAAAACATAGCAAGCACCTCTGCTGATATCAGCCTGGTCATTACCAATTCCTGTAAATCATGTCGAACAAGTCGTACGCTTAGTCATACTCTTCGCACAAGAAAAAGAATGTCTGCTTGCTAGACCTGGTTCGACTGCGATCGAGCATGTAGACATCCTCCATCAGCTAAAACTAAGTCTACACCGCTCGGATGTCGTACCCGCACCACATCACGGAAGCGGTGAATATTTGCCAAGGTACAAAGGTTCCCCGTACCGTCCTCACCATAGCATATTGTGAACAAATTGCGGGATGTTGAGGGTAGACGCCAGTCGCACTTGTTTGCTGCTTCCTTCAATGTGATTCCGTAGCCGTGAATACATTGATCGAGATCGCCATTGCCTTTCGTTGCACAATTGGCTCGCCACAACAGATACTCAGAGAACCCTCCTGGTCCTCCACAAATGTCAGCAAAACTGAGCGATTCTTGGTGCTGCTCTAAGCGCTGGGTCCACTGAAACATATAGTCTAATGTCACGAGCTTCATAGCGGAGCGATTCAAAAACCGATGTCTCCCCAACGTCTCAAACGGATTTGTCGCGGAGCGAGCGTTCGTAAACTGCAAACTGTTTACCTCGTCAAACTTACATTTTTCCCGATTCAGTTTTTTCAACACCGGCAAATACGGCACTAACTGCTCTTCCTTATCGCTCCATTCTGCACTTTTCTTGATGTCCTCATCCAGCACCTCAATTAAACCATTTTCATATGACCCTACGTCTTTGCACACTAGAAATACTACACCATGAGGACCATCCTGGACACTTTCCATGGACAATTCTGCCACAAGCTCTGTCCCAGGTATCAATTGTGGAAGTGCATACACATTAGTCTTCTTGCTTGCAACCTGCTTCACGCGGCTCCGATCGCAATGACGCTGGCCAAATGACGTGAAACCCATAGCCGTCATCATTTCGTCGTCACCACTCATTTTGTGAATGTCGAAAGTCTCATCTATCGATAAATCTGCCGTTTGTGAGGTCAAGACAACACACAATCGAAAACCAAAGTGCCACCAACTATATTATACTACGAATCTATGCTGTGACGTGTCATCTTCTCAGCTCCATCCATCCACTAAACGCTCCCAAACACGCAAACTCACTGAGCAAGAGCAAAATAAAACTCGGCCAATAGCAGTGCTGAGCGAGGGAGGCAGGACAGCAGCTAAAGCATCTCTCGCTCTCACTACTCCTTATGACCACTTCCCGAGAAACGGGCAAAACCATTATCACTACTGCAATTGGGGGCGGTGCAACTGACAACACCATTCGAGGCGATAGATGAGCCCCGCGCGCTACAGTGAAGAACCGAATCCAGTTCTGCCTCGAGCTGCAGTTCACGCGCAACACTCTCGCTGAGCAGCTGCTCCAAATACTTGATACGACTCTGATCAGGTGCCAACAGCAACGCCTCACGTATATTTCGTCCCTGTGCGCGCTGGCGAGTGCGTTCCTCGACTCCACAATGATACCGATTCAGAACACCCTCGTCCACCACTGGGGAACGATTTTCGACGGACGCAGAACCATCCGAGCCGGCTTCGCTGGTCGCTGGCGTCGTCATGTTCAGCTCGTCCGGTGTCAGCGTCGATGAGCCGTCATATCGCGCCTTCACACTCGGCGAGATCTCAAAGTCGTCATCATCACTCATTTCTGAGCAGTCTGATAGCGATTTCGCCCGAAACTCATCAAAGTCGTGAATAACGTCAATATCCAATTCCGCCTTGTCTTCAAGATCGCCACCAATAGGCAAGACCGATGGAGACCCAAGTTCACTTGCACCTCGTGGACTACCGTTTTCCAAATCATGTGTTGAAGCATTGTCATCGGGCTTCTCCGCAGGATCCATGTACTCCATGTAGTCAGGATGGCTTTCTGGGTCCCACCGGAAGAACATACCATCCCATAGCACGACACGCTTTAGGTTTGCACGAGGGTACAACACACGGTTCGTTGGTCGGTACAACGGGTTCTTGTAAGGTTCCGGATTTTCCAGCACGGGTGTCCACACGGACTCCGTGCGCTCCCACACTTTGTCCAGCACACGTTCGCGCTCCGAGTTGTACAAGAACGTGCCATACAGGCCAGAGATCAACGAATCTGAAATATGCAGCAAAAATTTCTCGTTGAACTCAAAGCACGTCGGAAACTGCCGCGTCATCTGCCACACGCAATCCAGAAACTGCAACATGACCGGCGACCGCTCGTTTGGCTGGTCGGTAATGTCCTTACCCACACCAATTCGGTCCGCAAACTTGTGTCCAAACGAACACCACTCCTTTTCGACAAGACTGGCAAATCCGCGGAGGGATCGATAGAAGGGGTCTAGTATTAGTTGGGCCAAGGCCACAAGCTGCGGAGTTCGATCCCAGCCATCACTACAATGCACCAGCACGGAGGCGCCGTCTTCGTGGAGCACTTCTGCCACCCTTCGGGCACCAGACAAAACCCGCATCACGTGCTTTAGCCACCGAGTATCTGCAAAAGCGAAAAGATACACAGCGTTAGTACTTACGAATCAAACATACAACCCAAAATAAATTGACTTTACTCTCAAGGCGGTTGTGGTAGTGCTTGTCACCGTCTTCAACGCTGCTAGGACTGACCAAGGCTTCGTCATTGTAACACACAGAATGTTTGAAGTGAGTTTGCCATATCAACATTCTTGCGACAAAATCTTAACTTACCTTTCAGCGCATCTAACGACTCGCGCATCTTGTGAATGTTGGCAATGCCCATGAACTCAATGGTCGCGTTATCGTAATGCTGTGAGTTCTCAACGCCTGCAAAAACAACACAAATGTAAGCCTAGTTTTCACAAAGCTATTGCCACCGTAGCGTACCTTTGCCCTTCAATCGGTTACCCTTCGTGGCGATCGGCTTTCGCGCATCAATAATGTGAAGCGGGGGCGACATGTTGGAACTATTCTTGTTGGCTGAATCCCGGTACGCGCGCAGAAGTATCCGGTCAGGCTCGGATCGATTGCCTGCCATGCCGTAATTAGGCTGGCTGGAGCGAGACAGCACGCTTTTATTCACAGGGTGGCGCCATACGACAACAGGCAAACGTGCGCGTGACCGGAAGCGTGCTGACTGCACTAGCTGCTCTTCCGACATGAGCGATGGCACCACCATAAGTTGTGGGTATGTAGGGCTGAAACGGAACTTGGAGTTTTTTAGAAGACGCCACGTGATCACACCCTCCTCTTCAAGATGCTTCTTCGCAGAAAGAAAACCCAGGCGCTGGTACTCAGCAAATGGAGAATACACGAACCAACCATTCTGCTTCTCAGAAAGAGGGGCCCCTCGTTGCTTTGCCTTTTCCGTGTGGTAGTCAAATGCAAAAAGTGCACCAATCATGTTGGGCGGTTTCATGCGCAGTGTTAGCAAGTTAAGCCACCGAAAGTCTGGTGTTGATGGCAACTGATCGTATCCTTTCTTCCGCGAATACGCATCATGCATGGCAAGCCGCAACGTGCGCAAATCTTTGCATGTGATAAGCAGCATGAGACCATCACGTGTGATCAGGTCAATTGCTGCAAGAGGCAGCTCAAAAGAGCCAAACTTCCACGATGCATCGTATGGCACGAAGGTGATGCGGTAGGATGTAATTTTTAGCACACCTTGCACTGCTCGGTCGCTCTGCGACATGACTACTAAATTGGTCACACGCTGCACGTGCTCCAGCACCGATTCACCCGGCATCAGCTGGAAATGATCACTCACGATCGAGTCTCGGAGCTTCGAACGCTCAAAAGTGCTAGAAACCGTAGATGCTGTCTCGTCAATCACTTCCGTAGGTACGCGAGACGGCACCGCTGCTGTTGCAGTCTTCTTATTGTACATGACCTTTCCCTGTTCTAACGCCTGGACAAAGTTTGCGCGGTCTTCCGTGCTGTAGAATGTAATCTTCTTATTCACACTGGCATTGCCCGTCTGGATTTTCAGCTGCATCCCAAGTCTTGACTGTGGCTTGGCCGTCACTGCAGCACAGCTATACTCCTCTCTTTGATCATGCGCCGATAAAAAGTACAGCATGCGCTCTTCCACATCTACCTGTAATTGAATACTTGCCCGCTTGCTGCCAAGTTTTTCCAACACACTGTCACTCTTTTTGACAGTGAACGTAAACAATGTCACTTCTGAGGACGGTGCGGCGTTGCGGTTAAAGCCAAATACATTGCTACTATGTGACGATCGACTGCGTCCATTCTCCACCAAGTAGTTTGACGAATCGCTCACTGTTTCAGCGCCTCGGGAGCTAGTAGACGTTCCAAAGTTGGCCGGTCGCTCATAAAAGCTACTACTCTGTGTCGTACCGGCATAATTCCCCAACGAGCTTCTTCCCACAGCCACCTCGGGGCGTGGAATTTCCATATTATACCGAGGACTTGTTCTCGATTCCTTACTCATACCATCCGTTGTGTCAACCATAAGGTCTCTCGAACCTGATGGAGCTGTTGCCGACCATTTATTGCCTCCATTTATAGGACTGTGTGAACCTGTAGAGAGATAATTGCCGCTGGAAAGTTCATCGGAAACCTGCGTCGAGATTTTCCGACGTGTGGATGTCCGACATGTTTGAGTTCGTGGACTATTTCCAACGTTCTGTGAGGTCGAGAAATTTACAGTCGACCTCGAATTCTGACGTGAAATTGATCCATTTGTTGTAAGATGTGCAGCTTGAGCAGGAGCAGGTGGTGACTCGCTCTCGTCGCTCGGGAGCTTGCCAATGAGTTTCCATACATTCGATGTCGCTTGACCAGCTTGTGTCAGGTTTTTCTCCGCTTTCAGTAGTTTATCAAGTGTTGCCGAGTCCATTGTAGATTGACGTTGAGTCAAATAAGCTTCTTCTTGATCGTCAGCAGGTGCTTCAGTCGTTGTACTTGCCAGCATGTCCCGTGATGGTCTAAAACAGTATGAACTCACTTTATTGTGTTCGTTCTATACGTCTCTTCTTCTTACACGAATTCACACGCTCACGTCTCCGTCTCAGACTCTTTTAAAAAGAAAAGGGGAAACGCGGGGGGAGAGAGAGAATGAAAGAAAGAGAAGCCACACTAGAACCGTCGAAGTTGAGATCAAATTGGTAATGAAACAAAGACGAAAATGGACGGAGGAAAGTAATTCAATTCTGGAAATGAGAACAACAAAAAAGGAAACGAGAGGAAAGCGAGCGAGTGATTAAGCGACCGAACAAACAAAACAAACGAACGAACGAGTCGATCGATTGATGATTCACTTGTCTTGAAAGCAACTAAACTTTCTCCTTTCTCTTTGACTTTGGTAATAAAAAATCAATTGCCTTTTGTCTGAGTGTGTTTTCTTCTTTCTTTCTTCTTTCTTTGTCCTTGAGAAATTGAACCACAGAAAACAACGTATAGCAACGGATTATTATTATATTGCTCAATTGTAACCACGCGGCTTGTTTGGGGGAATTCCGGCAGCTGGCTCGCTGAAGTACACGCGTTACTTCACGTGTCCAATTGAAGGGATAGAAGAAGAAAAAAAACGTATCAAAATATTTTGGGACCAAAAAAAAGGTATCCGTCTTACAGGAGTGAATGTCTGGACACTTAAGTTGCAGTAGTGAGTGCAGCACAGCAATTGTCAAAATGAGAAACGCAGGCCAAAAAAAGCATCAGATTGGTTGTGTTTTTTATTAATTTATTTAGTTGACGGATGATACTGAAGTTAGTTGTCATAGCTACTTTCGACGTATGATTGTTTGCTAATGTAACAAGCTGCATCCTAAATTTTCCTATAAAGCTAAGCTTTAGAATTTGAGTTGCTTCTATTCGTACATTTTATCATCCGTAGCTTTTGGTGAATCAGTTTGAATCGTTTTTTTGTGAACCAAGGGCCTGAGTTATCATCTCATAATGAATGACATGACAAGTCCGTGCAATCGTCGTATGACGGTATGCAGGCAGATTTACAATGTTACGAAAAAGTAATTGTAAAGTAACTAATGCCCGTTCGTCAGCAAGGAGCCAGCTGAATGCTTTGCTTGCATTGTAGCAACTGCTCAACATGAGAAAAAAATGATACTGCCACTAATCGTTGCAGTCACAACATTTTGACTGTCCAATTGTAGCAGTGACACTTGTGAACCACAACATGAAGCACAAGATTGACAAAACAGACCAGCAGCGTCACGGAAAAGGATCCGATATGTAATCATCTAATGCTCCTTTTTTATGGAAAAGAAGGGTATACTGAACCTCTCATTGGCTACGATCAACGCAGAATTTGATACCTTACTATAGGCTGCAAACTGAACACAAATGAATGGGCATTATCGGAGTATTGCTGCCGTTTGAAACTTCAACACTTTGACCTGCATGAGCCGGCGTATTTGCAGCTAAGCGCTTGAGTTTCTGAGACACTGCGACTTAGCGATTGAAGGTATGTCGTACCAACGATATATGCAAGTTGGTCCTTGCTGTGCATTTGTAGACTGCAACCAGCACGGAGTACACATTGTGAATCGTACCGTCGTCGTTTTCAGCGTCCCGATCGTTGCCATCATCTTGCCAAAACCTGATACAAGCTATGAGAAACAAACGCCATGGAAGACAATGGTCACACTAATTTGTTGCTGTCGTACTTGCATCGATAAAAACGCCAAGTAGTAAAATTTGTTAAAAACTTGCAACTTGCAACCACAAAAAATCGTGCAAGTAGGTACTGACTGTCAGTCATTGTTACCAGACTATACACACATCTGCATTCACAACGCCGAGGTGCCAACAACAGGGTTGACGAGCTTGCCAATGCGCTCAATCTCGATTTCCACCATGTCACCAGGTGCAAGGAAAAGCGGCGGGTTGCGAGCGACACCAACACCCTTAAAAACCGTGCACATCGATCAAATTCTTCATACTCCCATACACATTAATTTGTCAAAGTTGCTGCTATCTTACCTCTGGCGTTCCCGTCAGGATAATCGTGCCCTTGGGTAGTGTGCAGTCCTGTGAGAGCTGACTGATAAGATTTGCAACAGAAAAGATCATATCACCCGTATTAGACTTCTGCACCAGCTCACCATTGAGATACGTGGCAATGTCGAGCGTCTGGGGGTCCAAAATGATCTCAGGTGTCACGAGCACCGGTCCCAAGGGACAAAATGTGTTAAAGGTCTTAGCTCGACACCATTGACCTCCTCCCTTTTTGCCCTGCCAGCGACGTGCCGAGATATCGTTAGCACAAGTGTAGCCACCCACATAGGTCAAAGCTTCCTCCTCCGTCACATTACAGCAAGCTTTCTTTAGTACAACAGCAAGCTCACATTCATAGTCAACTTCAGGTGGATCGGAGGCAATACGAGGTATCACCACAGGATCGTGTGGGTGTTGCAGGGCGTTGACACCTTTTGTAAAGAGCACGGGAAACTTTGGCTCTGGTTTGTTGGTCTCCTTGGCATGTTTACAATAATTGAGACCAATGCAGAGGATCTGCGTTGGCACTACTGGAGCCAATATCTTCTCAATGGTGGCAGTATCGCCCGTAAAGTGCAGACTGCCAAAAGGGTCGTCGTCTTCCACTAAGAACGCAGTCGAGCCATCATCCGTGCGTTGGCCGCAGCGAATGGCACCATTTTCGTCGACAAAGCGCGTCAGAGCAGTAGCTTTAGTATTTACGTAAGAAGTTGAGCGGTGAGAAGAAAAGCTCATGGCGAAACAACGGGAACTGGCGGAGCGAAGACACAAGAAACGCAGCAATACGGTCATTCGCACAATCTGGTTGATCACGATATCATATAAAATGATTGTACACTATGTACATTACTTCATTATATTATGTTGATTACACACCACATGATGGTCACATAATATAATGAAGGTTACATAATCTAATGTGGGTCACATACTCATACATTCAACTAATGTTTTTTTAGACAGAGATTAACGCCGTAAATTTATAGTATAGGATAAGTCATATCAGTGAGTATACCACACGTACCCATGCCTTGTGAGCTTCGACTAATACGTATATATCCATCCTCACCCCAATCAGTACCCCAAGAATTTTTAATCTTAATAGTAGTGGTATCATAGCCAACCACAAGCACGGCGTGGTCTACCTGTGCAGTGGGACAAGATGTGATGATGCCACTAACATATTGCTTCCATACTGGATTCGATGTAACCGAAGCAATAACTGGTTGCTTCTTGACCACTTCAAGTAGCGCACTCTCGTCTCCAGCAGTGACTTGCCCAACTTCCGTGATTCCTGACTTGGTCGGTGAGCACGTGTTCATACATGCTGCAGGTTTACCGCCCTCCATAGATGTGTAAGCGTAGCTACTTTCTACGCAGATTCCATTGTCACGAACATACTCCATAGCGTACACAGGAGATCCACCGTTGCAGCCAAAGTTCTTGGTGACGCAACTCACGAGCTGTTGCTTTGAATACGTAGGTGCCTTCTTGTTGCTGTTCTGAATACACTGCACAGCTTCAAGCGCAGCAACGGTTGCAAACGCCCAGCAGCTTCCACACTGACCTTGGAGTTCAGGAATGCTGACACAATCCGACGTGCTCCAATCAACAGAGTCTGAGTCCGCATCACTTGGCGTCAATGAAGAATCGATCAAGGGTGCATTCTGGCTAGCATTATCAGAGGCTGAAACATGTGCTGAAGCTGGAACAGATGTAGGTTTAAATGGATGTACAGATCCAGGTACGGGCGCAGGTACAGGAGCTGGGGCAGGAGTTGGTTTAGAAACTGGAAGTGGTGCCGGGGCTGGGGTTAGGGAAGGTGCCGGGGCTTGAGTTGGGGAAGGTGCCGGGGCTTGAGTTGGGGGAAGGTGCCGGGGCTTGAGTTGGGGAAGGTGCCGGGGCTTGAGTTGGAGAAGGTGCCGGGGCTTGAGTTGGAGAAGGTGCCGGGGCTTGAGTTGGAGAAGGTGCCGGGGCTTGAGTTGGAAAAGGTGCTGGGACATAAGCTGGGGCAGGAGTTCGTTTAGACATTGAAACTGGGTCTAGAAGTGGTGCCGGAGCATGAGATGGGGAAGGTGGCGGATAAGGAGTTGGTGCCACGGTAGGGGTGGGTGCCACGGTAGGAGTTGGTGCCGGGGAAGGAGTTGGTGCCACGGTAGGAGTTTGTGGTGGAAAAGGAGTTGAGTAGGCAGCTAGAATTGGTCCTGGCGCAGGAATAGGTAACGTTATAGCAGGAATCAGGGCTGCATCTAGGACAGCAGCAGGACCAGGAGATGGTGGGACCATTGGCTGAATTGGTGACCATTGTGATATAGCTGTGGATGTTGTCGGAAGTGCCTGGGTGGCAGGAGCTTGGGTGCTATTACCTGAATTACCCGATTCTGTCCACTGATGGCTTGATGGTCCTAAAGATATAGTCACCTGCGAGCTTAAGGTCAACTGCGAGTTTGACAATCCTGGCGCCTCAGTCTGGTCGATATTGTGTGTCCCAGCATCTGAATCTTGGTGACCCCAAAAGCCCCACCAGCTACTCCCACTCCAGCCATTAAGTCCCAACCAGTTATTCTCTCCCCAGCCATTAGTTCCCCACCAAGTTCCGGTGTTACTGCCGCCACCGTCAGCTACTACTGCAATTCGGACGCTGTCATCCGTCGACACATCTTCAAAATTCCATTCTTCTTTCGTGTCCCCTTCCGTGGTGGCAATATCGTTGTAATATGTTTGACTGTGAAAAGGTGTTTGATAGTTCTGAGTAGAGGCGTCGGGGGTACTTTTGGAGCCCCCTTTGTAGTCCTCGTCATTAAAAACATACTGAGTTCCTGCGTTGCGAAGTCGACGCCTGGGTATTTTTGTTGCTCGCACCGACCTATTTCGTTTTGTACTGACATCATCGCAACTTCCACTGCTACTTTCCTCAGAGTCATCCTTGCTATCTGGGGGTTTGGTTAATGGAGTAACGCCATTGTTAATCGGCCATTGACGTCTCAAGATTTTTGTAGTGTTTGTCCTGTTCGAGCCACCCAGGTGCGGGTTCGACAGAAAATCAGCAAACTCACGAATTGAGAGAAGCGAAAATGGTCCATGGAGGCTAAATACAGCACGCGGGTTAGCCTTTCGTGCCTCCACAATGTGCTCCTTGGTCAGGTAGAACCGTTGTAGCCGATCTTCTAACTCGTCATCAAGGCTCCGAGACTCCGTTACTGGAATAATCCCGGCTTTCCGTCCACCAGGTCCAAACTCGTCCATCCAGTCTGCCAGCTCCTTAGCTACCTCATCCTTCTCCTCCAAGTACCGATGGTATATAGGAATAATGGCCGCGTGCATTGGTCGTGCGTCAACGACGTCATCAAACCCCAGCATCATTATAGCCAAAGCTAACGTGACCGTCCCTGTCAACATCCTGTCTCACTATTTCTTCCTCTTTCCCGCGTTGTTGTCGCTCTCAGACGTTGAATGCCCGCGACACAGCAAGTTTGGAAATGCGTAGAAGTGTGACCAGAGAGCAATTTGAGATTGTGAAGTCTGCCCAGGAGATCAGGCGATATTGGGCAAAAGTGGAACTTACTTGGATGGCAGTCAAGTTAAAAGCGTGTTTGCTGTTGATGTTTTGGAGCATGCGTGTTCTAGACTCGACCGAAATACCACGGATACCATACATTCTCACGCAGAACGACACAATAGACGACCGAAAGTCTAGACATGCATTCGTAGGTCGTCCGTTGCTCTCGACTTTCTATCGAGCAGTCAACATTGAATAGTCGACGGGCACAATGTCGACTTTATGCAGCGCATTACGCACACTGGATGCCTCCAGACGAGAAATGCTCGTGAATGTCGTACAGTCCACACAACACCTGGAAAGCAGAAACGTGCTTCGTAACCAAAAAACAGCTCTTAACAATAAGGCTTTTCAAGCAATGCTTCGCTTTCTCATAGCTAACTCAAAATGAATTTTAGGACTTCGCCTATTTGTTGAAAACACATTCATGTTCTTGAACATGAATGGATAATGATTCGAATTCAACTGTGCTACGGACAAATGCTTGAACAAGGTAAATCACAACTAAGGAATAGATGGTAACAGTTGCATTCTCAATCACCACGAAGTTGATTGAAGTAGTTAAGTAAGAACTTGGTGCACTAAGCTTCGGGTCAGAGTTGAAAAAAGCGTCCGAAAAGACCAAAAAAGAAGAAAGAGGGAGTTACTTGACCGATTGAATGAGAAAAGAAGTCGCTGATAACATATAATGCTATGCTCCGCTGTATGTGTGAAAGAAAGACAAGCACTGAAAAGCGCTTGTCTTTTTTTCACACAGAAGAGGCAGGGTAGTGTTGAACACTGTCGCTTCCACTCAAAAGAGGAGTTCAAGTCATCGGAGCCCACACGCTAAGGATTGTGGACATCCTGGCAGGGATGCTGGCTGCTGTCGACCCGTTGCAGGACCAGGTTCCATATCGCTCATTACACTATGGGACTTTTTCAGCACATGGAGCCTCCATCCACTAAACTATCACACCATACGGTGTGCAGTTGGCAGGGCGGATGATTCAATTGGATGACTTGCTCGTGTCTATCTACGACGTCCTTGTGCCCCGCACTCAGCGAGGTGCGATCCCAGTCGCAATGTAGGGTTTGATTTCTGGCCTTCTACAACTGGTGGGCAACTATGAAGACGCACATACTGTTGTACTACTTGTAGTGCACGCTTCGGGGCCGCAACTGGTTAAACATAGCAGGGTGATGTCTGCCGGCTACTACAACTGGAACATTTTTTATTCACAACATGTCACCAAAATGAACATTGCTACACTGGCGAGTAAAATGGACCACAGTTCATTTTACTGTCTGGGAAGAACTGAAACGATCTAGAAATGGCTTTAGTGGATATGTTGGCCGATCACGCCGTTACCGCACACATTGATTCATATACAAGGACAATATAGCTTTGCAAGTCGATAGACCCGGCAAGTACAGCCGTGAAAAATATGGTTGTTTCCAGATGCACATTCTTGAATTCGCCTTCATATCAACAAGTTCGGCAGCAGCAGTGACACCCACACTCGGATCTCGTCTACCACTCAACTCAAGCTCATTTTGCAACGACACGTTACTGTTACCAACTTTACAGCATAACAATGCACACTTCAGGCTATTGCTGGGCATTTGCGGCCGGCACGATGATGATCTTGATCTCGACGACATCGCCTGCTACTGCTCACCCGTTGCACGCTGGCATCGACTACCAAAAATACCTCGAAGCCATTGACACCACCCAAGCCGATCTGGATGAATGGAGGAGCAAGTACGGTGAGGTTGCGCAAAAGAACGGTTGGTGGCCAGTTTCGAAAGACCGCAGCGCAGATGATCAAGAAGAAGATCTTCGCCAACGCATTTTCTTGACCAAGCAGAGCATTTCTGCTGTCCAGGCTGCCAACCCAAATGCAAACTTCTCCATCATGACACCATTTTCAGCAATGACTGATACAGAGTTTGACACGTACGTGCTGAACTCGTACATTGGAGGCAACTCAGTGCAGAGTGACAGAGGAACGACTAAGTACCAACTGCGCACTGCCACTGGCACAGCATCCACAACCGATGTCAACGACAAAAGTTCCAACACCGTTTGACTCATCAAGTCTATCGGATCCTTCATTGAAACATTGATCAAAAGCTTAAGCATGGGCACAGCTCAATCTTTGAGCAACAGTCGCGCCGACGTCAATTTGACCAGCTACAAATTCTCGGATCTAGTGAATTGGCTCCGGGTCACACTAAATCACCCACCCTGACTGCAAACACACCAGTCACCGACGCATCGTCTTCGTCGGAGACGACACTGAACAGCTCTGCTTCGGTGGACTGGTCTACGTCTGAGTGCATGGCCCCGATTCAAAATCAAGGATCTTGCGGTTCTTGTTGGGCATTTGCTACGGTGTCAGCCGTCGAGTCTGCGCAGTGCATTGCAAATGGTAAGTCGTCTCTTACTGAATACTCAGTGCAGCAGTTAGTTAGCTGTGATACCCGGAACTGGGGTTGTGATGGAGGTATTCTCGCGTACGCTTTCGATTTCATACTGCAGAATGGTCTTTGTACTGAAGACAGCTATCCATACACGTCAAGCAGAGGCGTTGAGAACTCTTGCAGTTCAAGCTGTACTTCACAGGACACTGGCATTACAGGGTACTCGCAGCTGTCGGGTGAGGCTGAACTGCTGAGTGCAATCGACGAGCATCCAATCGTCGTGGCGGTGGCTGCGGGAAATATCGTTTGGAAGCAGTACACGGGTGGATTGGTGTCATCATGTAGTTCCACGCAGCTTGACCACGCTGTTGTTGCGGTAGGCTATGATTCTTCATCGATCAAAATTCGCAACTCGTGGGGAACCAATTGGGGCGAAGATGGATACATGCGTCTCGCGCGCAGCTCGTCTGGTGACGGAACATGCGGTATGATGTTAGACATGTCGACTCCGCAGATGTAAGAAGATTGTAAAGCTTGCGTGCAATTTGTACATCTAATAATATATAGAACCGGCACGCTCAAAGCATAAGGACGGACATAGCGTTCATTGAAGTACACGCCTTTTCGTAGCAAGCAACGCATTCCTTCTTCTTGTGTCAAGCTCACGTGTTTTTGACATTGCTGTCCTTTACGACGCAAGTAAGCTACCTGCTGCATCAATGCAATCACAGCTGTCCTTCCTTCGACTGTCGTCGCGTTTGCTTTTCCGTATCACCAGCTTCCACGCTAAGGGGGAGGTACCATTCCTCCAACATTCCAGCTTTTTCGCGCGCCTCCTTGTTGACAGGTGGCTTCAGCCTGCCCTTGTAGTACTGTGGTATGATCTCGTGGAACCTTGCAATAGGGTCAGCGCCATCCAGTTTGCAGACGAATCGAAACCAGCGCGCGCCAGCCTCCACATGTGTGGTCTCATCGCGGTAGTTTTTGACGATGATTTCCAGACTTGCTTTATCGTTGGCTTTCTCGAATCTCTGGACAGCGTTTGGAATACGTCAAGTCCTCAGGCCTCATGAACAAGATGCACAACTGCCAGACGTGCCAAAATGTTCTTGCGGGTTTCATACGCTGCATCCCAGAGACCTTCATGGCCCGTGAGGTCACCGTAGAAGCTACCGAGCTGCGTGAGACAACGTGCCCAACTATTGAAGTGGTTTGCTTCCTCACCTGCGATACGAACCCAGTCGTCGTAGAATGCACGGGGTAGGTGTGCGGCACAAATCGACAAACCATGTCCCACATAAGATCAATTGCGTAGCTTTCAGCGTGCGCTTGGCTGTTAAACATAGTGTACATGTTATGACAAACACAGTGAAGTGTTAGTGTTGGTAATAGCCTCGCAATACAATATGCAATCGATGTGAGATACATTGCAAACCTGATGCAAGTCTGTATTGTCATTCACCTGTGCACGAAAGCTTTACGGGATCCTTGCTTGGTCTTGTAAGCTGGAACAACCTTCACATTCTCCGGTCGTGCAGGATGGTCGGGCACATCGTTCACGTCGTCGTCTTCATTCTAGACCACAGTGATCGCACCACTTTTCATTGCACCACGTACTCATTGGTCTTCTCAGCCTTCGCAACGGCATCAGCCGTTGTCGGCACGTCCAGCGCACATGCAAACAGCGTCGGAGTCTGAGCCATCATCAATGGTACTGAAAACTAAGCTCTAAGTTGGTGAGCCAGTATTTTGTGGTACAAGTATCGGTTTCGTCGACCAGCTATCTGGACTCTTAATACTTGGTGCAGCGAAGCTGAAAGTGGCTAGCGCCAGAGAAAGACTGAGACTTAGAGCGTCTCTTCGTTCTTTAGAACAAACAATTCAACACCAGAATCAAGAACGGTCAAAGATCCGAGGTACATATGTCTTAACAAGGCTTAAAGCGGAAATAGAGTCCAGTTGTAGCCTATTAAAGCTATGTAATATATTCAACGGGTGTCTGGAACGCGGCCTTCCGATGTGGTGTGTATGTCGTGTACTTCTTTCTCGTGTGTGCCTCCACACCATAATGTGTCTTGTGCCTCCGTCGCACGCACCCAGCCACAATCGCCATATCGCGGTTGGGCTTGCATCCAACGCTTTCACAAGCACCTCACTGGCCGCGACTGGGTATTGCGATTAGCAAGAAAAGTTGCGAGCGGCCATAACTATGTCAGCTGATGAGTCAAATACTCCAGGGGAGCATTGTGCCTCAACAGGAAGCCCTTGACCTCTGGTGCGTCCTCTAAACATCGTGCAGCTTCTGTCCTACAGCGCTAAGCGCTACTCCAGGGTTGGAGGCTGGTACCATTTACTAACCGTCTCGACGAGGCTCAGCAGCAACAAATTGCTGGTGAAGGGACCAAACACGCGCGTAAGGCTCTGACTAGTCCAT